CCTTCAGATACTGGAAGGCTGCTATGAGGTCTCCACGCAGCCTTCTCTTCTCCAGGCTGGATAGCCCCAACTTTCTCAGCCTGTCTTCATACAGGAGGTGCTCCAGTCCCCCTGATCATTCTCATGGCCCTTCTCTGGACTTGTTCCAACGGTTCCAGGTCCTTTTTATGTTGAGGACACCAGAACTGCACACAGTACTCCAGGTGAGGTCTCACAAGAGCAGACTTGAGGGGCAGGATCACCTCCTTCGACCTGCTGGTCACGTCCCTTTTGATGCAGCCCAGGATATGGTTGGTTTTCTGGGCTGCAAGTGCACAGTGAAGCCGGCTCATGCTCATTTTCTCATCGACCAGCACCCACAAGTCCTTCTGCGCAGGGCTGCTCTGAATCCCTTCTCTGCCCAACCTACGGTGTACTTGTCCTACAAGTGTACAAGTGCTGCTCAGATTCTGGTTATTCTAGTCTCTGCCACAACTGTTACTGCAATAAACACACTGCACTTGCCTAGCACTTCTAATCTCAAGCTTTATGCACGCAGCTGCCATAGAACAGAACAATTTATAAAGGCATGGACTGTGGACAGAAAGGAATCATTACACCCATCACATGCATTCACACAAAGAACAGGACCACAGCTCAGTGGAGAAGACTGCCTGTGTGTAAAGGACCTATCCTAACTGAACAGATCCAACTACTCAGGATTTTCTCCACATGCCTATGCTTCATCTTTAGCCAATAATCATAGTATTTTATGAACCTTCCCTATTACTCATTAAGAACTTTCATAGCTAAACTCATCCTGGACTGAAATTACCCACTTGCATTTCTCCTGCCGCATTCAATAGAGAGAAAGATGAAGGTTTAGTCTTGCCTCCAAAATGCAGTCACCAGCATAATGCCTAGGGCTCCGTGGAAACCTCCACTACCAGTCTCAGGACAAAGCAAAGATACTCTGTGCTGTCCAGCCATGGCACTGAACATCCATCCTTAGTCACCACTCAGAGGCATCTCATCTCTTGGGACAGACTCTTATAGAAGGAAGTATTATCATTAACTGCTATGTGACTATTTTGACAGTGGTATCTCCTTATGGAGATAAGATTGTTTAGTTAGGAGTTATGTATTTGCTTAGAATTACTTACTTATCCTATCATGTACAGCAACATGAACTGTTATTTTGCACTTTATTAGTGAAAAATTTGTTTAAAAGAATCTGTGAAGAAAAAGTTTTAAATTAGAATTTTATACAGCAAGTGGCATTTTCACTAGATACTGTGGCCTCCATAATAACAGTGCTGGTTTGACAGCTTTAGGAGGTAAGATTCTTTTTTAATTTAAACCATTTTTATGTAAAGCAACAGAAATTCTGGATTAGAATCTCAGATGATCATTGACAATCATTTTATCTTTATACAAAACAGTCTCTTTTCAGCACCCAAAAATGGAATCTAAATTAATTTGGGGGGAATTTTAAATTAAGCAGAACATCCTTTCCCTACTCTGTTGTACTCCAAATACTCCTTGTCAAACCCAACATGCAGGGTTGCGGCTTCCTGTGCTAAGGTCTGCTGTGGGTTGCCAGCAATCTATAATACATCTCCTGGTTACCTTACTGAATGTATAGATGCACAAGATTGTAACAGTGGCAGAAAAGATGTTAAGATCTTCCTCCTACCAACGGATTCTATTTTTTAGCTGTCCACCTCATTTTAGCAACCTACAAGAATTAAAGAACTTCCTTGGCAAACTTGCTTTGAGGTTCAATGCCCTTAGAGTAGTGAGACAGATTGTCCTTTCTCTGGGACCTCAGGACTGATGAAGCCTTTTAGCTGCCAGAGAGCTGATGTCTCTTTTGAGTGGTGTCCTCCCCACCCATAGGCTCAGGAGAGCTGTAACTGATTAGAGGCACTGTATGAAAAAACAGCAGCCACAACAGAGTACTGCAGTGAGAACAGTCGCCAGGATACATACATAAACACAGATTTTTACAGCCTAATAAGCCAATAACAGAACACCAGAGAAATACATTTAAAAGGATAGTAGCATGGAGACAGGTAAGATATATTGTGCTGGTTTAAGTTACGTGATCACAAAAATTAACAATGTAAGACAAGGTTAAAAAAATACATTTTTTTTCCAAGTAGCAAGCAGAAGAAAAAAGCAGAGAGAGATACTGGCCTCTTCATTCTCCTGGGCACCCACAACTCTTTTCAAGGGCAGGGAAGAAGTTTCCAGACTGAAAAGACAGTCTTGTTCAACTCTGGACCTCAGTTTAAACAGCAGATGAAACTAAGCAGCAAAGAAAGAACACATTTGATTTTTATTCTCGGCTTCTGTAAAGGGGTGAAAAGGAGTCAAGAAAGTGAAACATGGTGGTATGGGAGCTGTGCCAGCAGAGAACAACCTTTGCCTTTTGGAGGCTTCATCATCCTCCTGTCAGCTAACTACAGAACTGCTTGTTGTCCAACAGGAAAACCCATAACAACTGTGTGTTATCTGCTCCAGTCTTTCCCATGTCAACTGGACATTTCTGTCTCTGGAAAACCTGTGGCCAGAGAACAGTGTGAAGTCACAGGGTCATCATCGCTGTGGCACCCTTCTCTCATGCTCTCCATATGTTTTTATTTGGGGTTTTTTGTTTTAAAGAGATGAAGCATCAATACAAACAGCACTGGTTGTCACAGCAGCAACAGAAAGCATTGGTTTTTTATTTCCAGGTCTTGTTTCCATGTGGGTTCTCCAATACTAACATGAGCTGAACTCATATTATAAACTTTTCCTTCAAAGACATTATCTAGGTCTTTTTCTTCAACACCTTTGCCTATTTCTACAGAATTTGTCACTCCCTGTTATCTGTAAGACCTCATCAAACCTTGACCTTCTGTCAAATTTGTTCAAATTGGCACTAATTACAAAAAGCATTAGAGCAAAAGCACACAATTAATGCAGAGAAAAATCTGTTACTGCTACTTTTCTACTTCTTCTTCCCAGATACATGAGAGGATTGGCATCCATGAATGCCACCACCACCAAGCAAAGGGATCCAATGAAAAGAGGGGGCTCTTTCCCTTTCTTGCCTCCACAAATCACTCCCCACAGCAAGAGACAGCCTCTGCCCATACAACCTCGCAGCCGTTTCCAGCTCCTTCCTCCCTTCATCTCATTTGCTGCAGCGCAACAAAGCACTCCAAAAATAACATTTATTTTTCAAAACTGGAAAATGGCACAAACCGCCCCACAGGAGAGAATGACAACGGCATGAGTTCAGCGCGGGCTCGTGAACGGACATTCCCTGCCAGGGACAGGAAACTGGAACCTCACAGAAAGAGACTGAATGGAACCAGATCGAACAAAGCGCCAGAAACCACGGCCATCGATGGCCAAAACCTGCCGAAAGGATAACTCACCTGCCTGTCAGTCCTTCACTACAGCGAGCACAACTGTGTCACAGCTCTACAGCCATAAACGCCTCCGCCTTGCAAGTCTGCACGTACAATAGCCTGGAGCATGCATATGAAGTGAGGAGAAATTTGAAGATGAGAAATATTTCCGACTTACAGCTTTAAAAGTGGGGATCAGCAGGGCTTGAATGTTCGATTTCAATCCTAAACTATTTTGATTAGTGGATGTTGATGCAGTATCTCAAATGCACTTACAGTTTCTGTTCAAAATAGTATCCTTCAGTAATGATAGAGCTGTTATGTATGAACTGCTAGACAGAGGCCACACCATTGCTGCTCAACGGACTGAAAGTTGGACAAGGCAGAGGAGGAATAAACTAAATCATTCTCTTTGAACAGACAGAGCCAGGTTTGCCAATACCCTACATCTTGTATAACCATTTAGACCATGTCTATGTAGGGTAACTTTTATGAAAATGAAGTTATAAATGCATAAATCCATCTAGAAAAATTCCTTACCTATGAAGAACAGAATGTAATTTTAATTTGTAAAGTAATAAAAGCTGAATGCCAAATTGTAATGCTAAAATTGAAGTCAGAAGTTGTACGAAGACAGGTTTTCAGAAGCAGTAATTTTTTGATGTAATATTTGAAAGTGATCAATTCAAATTCTGCTTTAGAAAAATGTTCTGAGCTTTGATCCTGCTCCAAGTTTAGCCCAGAATAACTATTATACAGCTGACATTAAAAGTCTCAAAACAAAGTGATTTATAATGGAAACACAGAAAATAAATCACTATTTCAGAACTTCCCAACACACCACATATTAGATCCAGAAGGTCAGACAAAGTTGTCATTGAGCATGTGAGCTCTCCCTGCTGCAGTGAGGACAACACACAGAAAAGCAAATTGAGTTAATGAACTCAATCAGATATACAGAGTGACTCGTGCTTGAGAGGCACTTAAAGATTATAATGTACCAAAGACTGCAACATGATCATAGTTAGTGACTTGCAGCAAGTTGAGAAGCAAGGCTTCCTCTGGCTGGAGCATGCAGATACATTCACCAACGCCCTGCTGAAGAATATTTGACCATACCTGACCCCCAAAATAAGAAGAGCCATTAACATCCTGAATTAATGGGCTTAGTGATTTTTCAAATGAGGTATTTTCATGATGGACATGGTGTGGATTCAGCAAAGTTTGCCCTTTAACAAATACAGTTCCAATTTCAAAGCTTTGATTAGGCTTAATACCATTAGGGAAGCATTACTGATTTTATGCTGTTGTTGTTACTGCTTTAACTATCAATTTCTGAACCAAAAATTGCAGACAGTTGGCTTGACCAAGAGTCAAGGTTTAGGAATGCAAAAGCAAATCCAAGGTACAGATGAGCTTCAGATGTGGACAGCCTTCACAGGGTTGAACAGGCTCTCCAAAGTTTGTCAGGTCACAGAGGCTTTTTTTTTTGGGGGGAGGGGGAGGTGTGTGTGCACATGCACACACATTTGTTTCTTTGTGTTTTTTGTTTGGTTTAAACACTTCTGGCCTCAGCCAGGGCAACTGGAATTCATACGAGCAGTTACTGCATGCAACAACTAAGAAAAACTCACAACAATCTTTTGGTTTATTGTATACCATGTACAAAAAAGCAAAACAAACGAAAATGATCATCTTAATAAGCAATCGTTAATCACCACCACGTGTGCCTGAAACAGCCAGATGTTTACAGTTTAAGAAGCCAAATAATACTACTACTTTTTTGTAAACACTAATGGTGAAAGAACAGTAATAATGGTTTTAGTCAATCATCATTAGTACTTGAAAGTACAAATATAAATTAAATAAGACTCAAAAAACTTGTACAATAAAATCTGCTATAAACAAAGCTAATTAAAAAGAACTGCTCTCAACCTGTGTTGTGGGTTTCATCTTGTTTTAAAATGTTTATTTTTCTGAAGTATCCAAATGAATGTTCATATCCAGATGTCCTTACCAAGAAACACGACCTTCATTCTTTCCTCATTTTTTAATCTATTTATATTATATTTTACTTTTGATTGTCTTTTTCTTCCTTGGCAATCCTCTTTGTCACACCACTGAAATACTTCTCACGGAAAGAATTGTGTCCCCTGTAAGGCAGATATTGTCCATCCAACAAGTAAGAGTTCTGATCTTGATCCTGCACGGTATCAAAACACAAGCATTAGATTTTAAGGTAGTACGTTCAGCATGTATTGACATTGGTTTTCCTCCAGCCTTTTTCAACCAAATACAATCAAAAACAAAGCTGGTTTTTGGTTGTTTTTTCATTTGGTTTGGTTTGGGTTTTTGTGGGGGTTTTTTGTTGTTGGGTTTTTTTTTTTTTAACAGTTCAATGGCAAACGTTTAAGTCACTAGATTGATTAAAAATATTACAATGCTAAGGCTTCTACTAGGATTAACAAGAACACATACATTCTCCTGCAAAGTCTTAAAATCTAACAGAAATGAAAATCCGTATGCAATGAATACTCATTTGACACTGATCAAATACAAGCTGTAAGCAGATAAGGGTTTTTTTACTGGTTATTTTGGGATTCTATGTACTCATTCAAATTTTCATGATTCTACCCTGTACAGCAAAATGATGCAAGTGTTCTATACCAAGCAGCTGAAGTTTTAACAGCGCTGCATCACTGGAAATATCTCATCTGACATCACCAGGACCCACTCTTTGGATGAATGAATGAGAGCAGAGGTATGCTGCCATGCAGACTTTTTATGAAGAAAAATATAGGGATAAGTTTCCAGAAAAACATACCATCTGGATAATTCAATCACTCAAACGTTTGTGGAAGGCAGAAACAAACAGAACACAGGTGGCTAAAAGGAGTTCCTACAGTTACTGAAGCACAACCAGAAGATTTTTTCTTGTTCAGTATTCATGTACTTTGGAAAGTTAAAGTTGACACACTAAATTCGTACACATAATACCCATAACACCTATCTGACATCAGCCAGGAATGTTATACATACAAAAGTCTAGTTCATATAGTGGCTTTATACAATTAAGATACTTGTCAACTAATGTTATCAATACTGTAAGATAAACAACACATCATATTTTAATCTGAGTGCTGACAAAAACCAATGGCAACTTTTAAAGACAGTTTTACACTTATGGTTGATGTCAGTTTATTATGTTCAATAGCAAGATGGAACTGTGATAAACAGCCTCACACAGGACAACTGAGCTGCGCAAAGAAAAAACAAAAACAAGCGTACGAGAAAATGAAACCTCCATTCCACTAAATGTTTCAGAGTTATTTGTTCATGTCTAAAAACAAGGTTACTGTGGAATGCTTTAGAGTAAGTAGTAGGAACATGGTGGTACATTTAAGTCAGTATTTTCATATTACAAAAGTATTACTATGCAAGGATGAACTAAATCCTAGTGGACAATCTTCCCTTTAGCTCTTTTGTAGCCTTTCCAGTCTTCCACCTAGCAAGACCAACATCTCATCTTGCTCTGGATATACTAATTCACATTCTAAAGGAGTGAAACAAAAGGTTTTTCAACACAGCAAGATGTCTGTGTGCATGTACAAAAGTGCCCTCTTCTGGACACAATGAAATATTCCTCTGAAGCAGTTCTCATCTACCACCCTAACAGATAATTTAAGCATGCCACCGACTTAAATTAGCCTACTGTATGTTAAATGTCATTGGATACGTAACATGTAAAGCATGTACACCTGTAGCAGCAAATTAGTTCTATTTAAATACTGCACTGTTGGAAAATTACCTCAGTAAACCCACTGCAGACATAGCACTATCTGTGGTCTTTTGGTCACCTCTGAGAGACTGCCATCTCCAAGACTGATTATCAACATACTTTTAACATGCCCATGGGAAGCCTGGGAGGAAGAATACTACAGACAGACAGGTAACAAGGAGGATTTAAGACACACTCCTTTCACAGCCAGCACCCATTTCTCCAGGTCTCTTATACAGGACCACTCTGAGGAAAAGAGCACTTCTTATTCCCTTAAATCTGCAGGTCAGAAATCCTTCTTTGACCTAAACATATAATTTTATACCTTTGGGATGTCTTTTAACAGTAATTCTACATAATTTGCTTGTTTTGAGAAAAGGATGGGATATTTCACTCTGAAGGATAATAATATATGTATGGGTCAACGGTATTCTAACATAAAAATTAATCCCACAACCTCTTAAGAGGTCACACATCTGTACACCATTCATCTTGATTCCTTAAGTAACAAACGCTGATTCAAGGTGAAGGGAGTAAGGAAGAAAGGCATCATCCCTCTGCCCCCAAGCTGGTTAGAGCAAAAAGAGGATACAGTATGTGAGAGAACAAACTTTAAGCTAAACACAGCTGTAAGAGGAGCATCCGCATTCATCAAACGGAAGCAGGTTTGGGGCATCACTACACAGCAGAATCTACTTTGTAAATCCAGGCCTCATCAAAACTATGCAAATCACCATTCACTAGATGAGAAGAGATCTGCAGTCAGGCATGGATTTCATGGAAGAGGTTACAAAAGAAGCTCCTGGCCCACACCACAGTAATTCCACTGTGAGAGCTCCTTTTCCCTACCTCTTCCCTGTACAGACTTGACTGCCCCATAGAAAGATGGCGTTGCTTTAAAGAAAAATAACAGATTGGGAATTACTTCTCAAAAAGAGAGAAAACAAAGTAAGAAATCCCAAACTACCTGTAGATGCCACTCTATTGACATTTACTAGTCAAAACAGTCATGGGCAATGTTCATTAGGGTTCACTGCCCATAGAGAATGTTCATCAATGTTCATTGCCCATAGAGAACTGATCAAAGTAAAAGGAATTCTTGGATTTCAGAGACTAACAATTTTGGAACAATATCTAACTTAGGGTATTTGATACCTACACAGGAAGCCAAATGGTTACAATTTGAACACCAGGGATAGGATGGATTTAACTCTACATAGGTAAGAACTTGTCAGAAAATAAACTTCATGAAACAATTTGTTGTGACTATTTACACTGTAATTTGCCTGGCCATCAGGCACCATCTCATTTCAATAGGGAAGCCAGTCAAACATCCTTAGTTTGCATAGCATAAGTTGGTAGAATATGCATTCTAAATATCTGACAGGAATGTTTTACAGTAAGAGAAGATCCCTTATGGAGGGTGGCAGTGTCAGTACTGCTTGTGATACACAGCTGAATGTAGAGACGAGTAGCATCATTTTCCACTTACTTCCTTTGAAACAACTGTACATAGTTTTCAAAGCATGAAGTTTGCAATTGGTTATTCAACAGAAAACAGTGAAACTTCCCAAGAAATCATTTCTACATCTGATCAGTAACGATCAGCCTGCTTGGCACTAGGCCAGCTCCTTCCCTAGTCTGACAGCACTACCAAGATGACAAAGACTTCTTTCTTTGCAAAAGTCAGAAGAACTGAAGTAATTTGTTAATCACTGGTGATTCTTTATCATCATCTTTGGTTCTCACTTTGAATAATTTAAGCTCTCAAAACAGCAGGCTAATTGCTAACAACAGTTATCACGTTAAACTTTTGCTCTGAAATGTTTTATGACGACTTTGTGACAACTGAAAACCAACGAGGCTCTTGTCAAAGTGCATGCTACCAAACTGCTTCTAGCTAATTTGAGTTTTCAACTCAACACTTACTTGCTCTAACGACAACACTAAAAAAGGTGTGACGTATTTCCAATAAATAATGAAGGAGTTGGAAGAAAGAGGAGAAAGCTTAAAGATAACAAGGAAGCTTTATTCTTCCTTAGATCTTGGCAGATATTAAGTGATACTGTAAAGGTTTATATGAATCTAGCATGACACAGTTCAGCCACCGGGCAATTACCCATATTCAGGTTTTGTTTAAAAAAACCTAGAAATCTTCTTAGCCTTATCACAGCTTCCTACCACCCTACATCTGGTGCTGGACAGTAGCTATAGAAACCACTTGTACTAATGTTATAGAGCTATAAACAGTACAGAGCAGCTTCCAAATCAGGGACAACAGGGTCATATCCAGGAACAGACACTGCTAAATTCAGTAGAAAAAATTCTGCACCAGTAACAAGTGACCATGTGACGGGAAATGTTTGACCCATTCAGTATGGTGGATTTCTATGCCTGATGCTCCAGAGTCCTTTCATAGGCTTTCATATGCTCAGAGCTCATCCCTCAGTCAAATTCTGTTTCACCTTGCTGCAGAATTTCTAGGTGTCCCTCTTAGTCCTTGCCAGTTACAGACCTATCCTGCATTATTTTTTATATATTTTTTTTTAGAAGTCCAGATTAGAAACTTCAGAACCAGGTAGCATTTACCAGCCACACAGATTTCATGTATTTCTGTAAGACAGCCAGCAGAGGAATGAAACAAATAATTCAGCAATAGCTGTAATAATTCAACATGGGGAAATCAACAAGCCTCAGAAAACAAAGGCAGACATACTGTTGGAAAGCACAGAAACACCAAACAACCCTACAGGTAAACATTGTTAATAAGTTCACCCCTTCAGAAAACAGTTGGCTGACAGATTCCCAAGAGCCCTTGTGGTAAATAGTGCTGTAGGTTTCCATAGTCCAATTTTCCTACTGATAAACCACTTACTAGTTATTTGACATAATTAGGACAGTTCAAATCTAGGTGGCATAGACTGAAACCTGTCAGCCTTACACAACTGTATTTTTAAGGCTTTTGAAAAATAAACTGGCACAATGGAAGGTATGCTTTTCTTTGATTCGGGCTGTAAGGGCTGGTTCAAACCTCCTCTGACCTGAAGCAATAGCTACTCAGCCAACAGCTTTCCAAACTTCTGCTACCACTGTATTTCAGTTCTTACACAGGAATGAATGCCTACAGTTTTTGGAGAGCTGAACGGGTGTTTTTATTGCTTAAAAAAAGCCTCCCTTCACAGTTCAATGAGGGCAGCCTCACATACAGTCTTGCCAGCTATAGTATCAATTAGAAAGTTTAATTTCAGGTTTAGAGGAATACTGGGGCAATTCGTACCCATTTGATATCAGAAGGGACAATAATGTCCATAGAAAGAAATAATACATTAGGCTAGTAAGCTTTCACCTCGTATCACTTCTGTTTTGTTCCTCTCCTGCTCCACACTCCAGTTCTTCACTTCTCTAAGTCTTCTGCCTTCTGAGTTTTAGAATACTAAAAAAGTCACTAGCTAGCTACTGCATTAACTTTTATTATTATGACTATAATTTAAGACTGGGGAGGAGGGGAGTTACTAATGACCACCATGGCTATCCAAAGAAGAGCCTTAAATGTTAAAAACCAAACAACTCTTCTGCTCAGACTGTCCACATTGGAAAAGTCTGTTCATATCAACACCGTGCTCAGTAAGAAATCTCCTTCCAGTTGCTGTGATTTCATCATAAACTTAAGGAGAACAGACTGGATGTTCACAAGACGGTGACTTTTTGCAAGGTTTTTAATCCGAGTTTTATGATCTTCATGCTTATGATGAATTAGGATAGATCAATACTTCAACTAGACATACTCACTTTTTACATTCACTCTGGTCTCCTTTATATTGCAAGCACAAGCAAATTGCACCACCAATTTCACATTTAGTAACTAACTGAATTCATCTCCAGTTAAGAGTTTAGGGTGTTAATAGTGGAATTGAATTTGCTGTGAAATCTGCAATTCATTATTGGTGGCATCACTGGGGAAACCAAAGGACTGCATAATGAGACTACACAATTTGTAAAACTTCTTAGCCACTTGCAAGTACTACATTAAGCTGAATTAAGAGGCATTTGAGAGTGCCTGTTAAAAACCACTCTAGTAAAGCAGACAGGAACTGTCTGGAAATGCAAACGTTTGTATATTCATAAATATTCACTTTTTGGGGGGGGGGAGGGGGAGAAAACCAAATAAAGACCCAACTACTGAATTTTAGTCATATCTGGGGAGTCAGAATATCCAATTCAAAGATTGCTCAGGATATTAAGACAGGAAAAAACATTCCAGATAAGGGACACTCAGCAGGAAAATCCTTGATAGCTAAACAAGAAGACCCTAAACCAACCCACGCTAGCTAAGGAGTCAATATGTATATTGTTAATTAGACAAGTTTTGCATCATCAGAAACTGCGCATGGGTCTTGGTATCTTTAAAATATTTAAAAGACATCTGGAGTCCTGACTGTACACACCTGCACAGCTTTATCTAAGCAGTAAGCCTGCCAACAAGACTCAGGTGTTCAGAGCTAAACACTTCCAGGCGCAAACCTGTCAAAGCATGTACTGAAGAACAGGTGATGCACAAAACAAGAATAACAAATGATGAAAGTCTATTCACAGAAGGGTGGATATATTTTTTAAATCAGAACATGTTATCCTACAGCCCTGGCAGTAATAAAACTCCTGCGGAAAATTCCTACGAACACCCTAAGACACACATGTCAAAAACTTACCCTCTTGGTTTGCTACTGGTGAAGTTGGCAGCTCTGGCTCTGAACTCCACACAGCATTAAAAAAAAAGCAGGTTCTGCTTGAGAATCTCAGTCACCATTAACAATATGAATGCAGCACTGAAACCCTGCTGTGTTACTAGTGCAAGCACCATGCAGACACAGCAGCCTGACCATTTCCTGTCATTAAAAATAGCTCTTCCAACTGACAAGGAATATACTAAAAACACTTGTTCACTGTTTGCATGTGTTTTCATTAGGAATTTGCTTCACCTTTGTTTAGTATCACTTTTAACAGTATAAGGCGATAGAAGCAGCAAGAATGGAAGAAGACTGAATGAAATATTCCCTGATCCTCAAAGAATAAAGCACCTTAGGAGAGGTACTTAGTGTGTCCCAAAACAAACAAAAAAAGCCAATGTATTTCTGTACTTATGTCACTCTGTGAAAGGGGTTCACAGACCTCAGTTTTCCAAGCAAAGCACATGCAATTTTCACAAGTAACTAAGTTTGGAAATTTCTTTTATATTATTAAGCAGCCTGCTCAGGATGAAAACTTTATAAAAAACTGAGGAGAAAAAGGAAAAGACCAAAACTAAAACAGTCCCTTAAATCACTACACAAGAAATGTGTGGCAATTTTATAAAAGCACTCTCCTCATAAAACACCCAAGTGTGATAGAAATAAGGATCAAATGCTGAACAGCATGAACTTTTCCTGAATGCAATAGCTCCTATTTTATACAATATAAACAAGAATTCAAACTTACCTTGAATTCTTTCACCTTTTCCATGGTTATCAGGCGCCTTGATGTGTGGCTGGAAAGCATCTGCTCACAGTTGCTAATAAGTTTCAGGCACGGGTGGTGGGGAATGATCTCTTCTGTATATCTGGAAGAAATAAACATTCATAGAGCTGTAAGCTCATGAGCTGGAAGTCTTGCATCTGAAACAAAATTCATACAGATTCTTCACAAAATGGCTTACACTAGAAAGTTGATATACATTTTAATCTGATTAAAGAAACTCAGGTATTGGTGATCGAGAGTTTTTACATCATAAATCCCAATCATCTTGTGACAAATGTGTAGAATAAATTAAAACCTCACAGTAGAAAGAACACCCCCCACCCCACCCCCATATTCTACATTTCTGGCATTTCTTAAGAATAACAGTGAGGTATTGAACAAGAGAGACAATACCAAATACGGACTCGAAATTAGGAAAAACCCCAAGCAGTACTACTTCTTCACATTGTTCTCAAATTTGCATATCACAAAACAACCTTTGAGTTACTTCTCATGTGTGTAATCAAGTCACTACTTCTGCCAGGTGAAGTCAGAACACGCTTTTTGACAAAGGAGAATCAAATTAATTCTCAACTGTTTTTTCTGTTAGATAAGACTTTTGATGCATCTATTACCACCAAACTGCCTCCTTCTCTTACAAAGGCAGGCACCTGCCACAACATCTTAAAAAGTTTCTCTTCATGACCACATAAAAGCCTGACTGCAAAGGAATTAAAAGAATTTAGACTCAACAATGATTTCAATGTCAGATTGAAAGAGTAAACTTCGGAGTGAGATGCTATCTTACAGAGGGAGAGATCATTATCACTTTGTTAAAAAGCCTTGTCTGTTAGCATCAATGCATATATTTCTACATTCTTTCAGGTAAAACTCAGAACATTATCAAGTAAGAAACATAGTAGCTTTGTTTTTAATTTAAGGTAATACACAAGATCTCAAATAACACGAATCTGATGGCAGGTGTTGCCAAATAATATCTGATAACACTACATATTAGTAGACAGTATCTTGCCTTCCCCCCACATACCTGATGTTTGTTCCTGTGTTCATCGTGATAGCTGAAATTAAAGTGACTATACTAACATTCTGTGCAAATATAGGGACTTCAGTGTTTCAGTTGTATGTACAAATTCACTTTTTAAGAGGCAACCCAAATAGAGCTTCAGAAAGCTGACATCCCCAAAACAGCAACTAAAGTAGAACCAGAACATGCAGTTCATAGTTCTCTAAAGTTAAACCTTTATACTGCTGTACTGAGGAAGCATGCTCTTACCCATGTTCAATGAGCAGACAAAAAGCTCTGGCATTTTGACAAACTCTGCTATTTTGAGAATAAACTCAGTAATTCCAAAAAGAGGTTACTGACACGGCAATCTAAGAACTCACAACCACGCATGTTCAGTCAGAGTTAAGCACATACAGCCAGACATTTGGAACAATTAGCTATAATACTGTTAATGGCATTCACTGTTTTGTTTGTGAATATTCTTACAAGATAAAAAGCTTCTGATACCAATTCGATCACTAAAAAGAATGCAAGCTACTAAGTGCATTCTTCTGTTAGGGAAGCATATTACAGAAATGGCTACTTTTGACTTCCCAATTTTCAAAACTGCATGTGATAATTATACATAGGGCAGTCACAACACATTTCCATGGTGAAACCGGGGACAACAACCACCTTGTAAGTATGGTTTGACTGTGCATAAAAACACATGACATCACGTAAGTTACCTTCAGAGCACATCTACACCTTGAAGATACTTAGAAACAGCTACTGTACATTACCTTCTCACTTTACTGTGAAACAGTTTCTGGAAAAAAATAAACCCACAATCCCCCCCCCTCCCCAAACCTTAGATAAGAGATGCTGAAGTAAGGTATGCAAACAGGTGTGTCTCCTTTCAAACCCAGCTTTAATCTCAGGCTGCACTACTGAGCAGACAGCATCTGCTGACCTCTCTCATCCTTAACAGGGCTGCTCCCCTGTGCTTCTTGCCTCTCACTGCCATCTCTTGGTCCCTTGGCTTTTGATTTCTCAGAAGAAAGATAAATTATTACTGACAAGCCCCAGGCCCAAGAATGTTCTCTTACAGGACCTTGTCATGCATCTCTATCAACTACTCTACTAGAAACACATATTAATAACAGCCTTGCCACTATCTTAGAAATCTATCTGCACCTTGAAACTAATTTTCTAAGTTTAAACCTAAACCCATTAGACATGCATTTGCAAGGACAGGTGAAGGCTTTTTCTTTTTGGTAATAGTAAGGAATTATCTCCATCTAAAAACCTTATTTAAAAATCTGCTTTCCCTTATATGAAATTTTAAAATATGAAGTCTGAGCACTACTTTCAAGTGCTAGTACTGTGGAAGTTCCAGCTGTACTACGCCTCAAAAGAAAGCACAGTGAGAAGACCTGAAGAGGCCTACAAGAAAGCTGGAAAGAGGCTTTTTACAAGGCCATGTGATGATAGGACAAGGGGCAATGGCTTTAAACTGAAAGAGGAGAGATTTAGATTTGATATTAGGAAGAAACTCTTCACTGTGAGGGTGGTGAGATACTGAAACAGGTTGCCCAGAGAAGCTGTGGCTGCTCCATCCCTGGCAGTGTTCAAGGCCAGGTTGTACGGGGCTTGGAGCAACCTGGTCTAGTGGAAGGTGTCCCTGCCCATGGCAGGGGCATTGTAACTAGATGAGCTTTAAGATCTCTTCCAACCAAAACCATTCTATAATTCTATGGTTCTACATACCAGAAACAAGAATACATACTCAGGCCTGTATATCGGCAGCCAGTAAACTAATCTTCCTCCCAACACCAAATACTCTGCTGCAAACTTCAATAGGTCAAAAAAGATGTCACTCAGATGATAACTGGATGAAACGAAGATGTGATTTTCTGTGCTAAACAAAAAAAGTTTACAAGTGTAAACATAAAAGCTCAGGCAAAATCTACATTTTTAATTAAAAATCCCCAAACCCAACAAAACTACACAGAATAGCACTGTGATCTGTAAAACTACAGGAGTACAACCTTCTACACAGCTTCTAATATGAGGAATATGACTTCCCAAATTCCCTACTGGGTCTTTAGACTATCATCTTTATTGCTCATGGAAATCAAAGACTCAGAAGCATACTGGGAATAGTTATTTTGCACAGTCCCTTTCTTAAGGGCAATTCAGAGTAAAAGACAGAAGACAAGGAAGGCCAGGCAGCCGAGAAGCCATATGTTATCTCTGAAGAGAAAGGAGCAGTGGAAATCCAAGAAAGAAGGCTAAGGTAAAATAAAAAAAAATAAAAAAAATGGAGTTATTCTATTTTAGCCTGATTTTGCATTGTGCATAGACTGAGGGGAACTTTAAGAATGGGAAACACAAGGCAATTAAGGCTCAAAGAGAAATAGGATTTGGAATCTGATCACAAGCAAATGATAAGCAGGGAGAACAAAACCAGGAGGATTTCAGGAAGTGACATGTTAATTTTGCAAACAGAGCAGAATGAGCTTTTGCTCTTTATTTATTATCACTACCTCTATTTTTTTAACTGCTGACGGGCAAGCAAGAAGTAATAATGATTCTAAAACTGTGACTGGCTTTCCATGAAGACATTTATATTCTACAACAGACAAGACAGCTCACCTACCTTTTTTCAGCTGTCCTAACTGTTTCCTTTTGTGAACCCGTTCTGCGAGTAGCTTCTCTGATACCATATGGTGCTATACAAAGCAAATGCACAAGGCAGAGATGAGAACCTCACTCTTTGTTCAAATAACGTAGTTATATTAGACATATACAACAGTGCACAAACTGTGCTTATACAAAAGCTCTTACAAAGTAGAAGGGTAATTTCCTCAAGATCTATTAGAAGTTCCTTGCTCAAAAAGGTTATTTTAAAACTGTTTCAAAGAAAGCCCTTCAGCTGTAAGGCACTTCTAGCAGCCTAGGTGTTTACTGCTCTAGAAAGGACAACGCTTTTCTGTTTTGTTCATTAAAAGATATTCCTTACTTTTCCAACATGTGACTAACAATCTCATCTTTTGTTTGACAGACACAAACATCTCCCCTGTAGCACTTAGCTATACATTTTTCAAAATGAAATGATATATATTGGAATTTCTTGCCAACATATTACAGAAATGGTAAGACAGGTAACAAAAGCCAGAGATGGCTTTTTCTTTTGCATTTTTACACATTTTCAATAGCATAACATACTTCATGTTGAACACGTCTGGTTGTGTGAGTCTTTTGTCAGCATCATGGAAGCACCAATATAACCATTTTGCAAATGAAGAAGTTGTGACACAATTCACAAACTTAGTTCTAAGCCATATTAATATTCTACATTGCCTTATTGCCAAATAAAAATTAGCAGGCAACCCACAAAGCTGCACTCCCTATATTCCTCATTAATATGAATGTGTCATCATAACAGCCAGCACCAGAGAACAGAAATTGCTGTATCTAGGTCTTTTATTTATTCTCTTAGCCTCTACTCCCTCTCACACATAACAAATGGAGTTAAGTACAAAAGATTTCTAAAAGAGTGAAGGATCATTTCAAACTGCTGGTGTGCCTAGTAGTTAAGTGTACCAAAAATACACTAAAACTTTCTTCCTGGAAGCATTCCAATAAGCACTTAAGTCTCCAGAAGTCCATCAGAGCTGCATGGCCGATTCCAGTGTGCTGCAGTTCAAATCTTAACAGCAACATGGAGCATTCTCATAACAAGCCTCTGTGCATCAGTAAAGTTATGCCTTTACTGAATGAGACTTCCTTGAAGGATAATTTTCAGCCATATTGATTTCTAGTGGTAAATATAATATGCTGTCCACAGAAGAAAGTATTATAGCCAACTTTGTTACACATCTGTAACTATCCTTAAAATAAATGCAGAGATATCAAATGCAGATTTCCACAGTGCTGCTCTCAACAGTAAACTTTTACAGCATGAAAACTGCAGGCCTGAGCACTCATCAACACATTAAATCAATGTACATAAGCGATAATCTTTTAGTCACTGTTATCAGGCAACAAAAAGCAGTACAAGCTTACGATCTGTAATGATTGCATCGAACAGCGTCCCTTTTCGCCATATTGGTCTTGAAGAATCAGAAACTAGTGCATCAAGGTAATATTTCTCTAAACCGTACTGTCGGAGATTAGCTCTGATATTTTCATCTGGCCCTCTCCATTTCTGGTTCTTTCTGGTTGCTTTACCTGGGGGGAGAAGCACATGGAACAGAAAAAAAAACATGTTCAACAACGAACTATTTTATAGGAAACACTTTCAGAAACTTTGTGATTCAATTTAAAGGAAAGTAACTGTAACATTCAAACCCAGCACTTATCTCCAGCCTTATTCTACTCACTGTCACAAATACTTACGATAAACTTCACAAGTAACAAGGAATAATGAAAATACATGCCAAATTCTACTGTACCATCTGCACAGGGTATCTAAAAATGTATTTGTAATAATGCTAGTTTGTATGATGTTCTCACTATACATCAGTCGTAACTGTGTCCAATGACTCTCATAATTTGCACTGGAGTCTTTCAGAGAAGTAAGAATGGGATTAGTCTTCCTGGGTTAGGTTACGAGAAGCTTCCCCCATCACAGACTAAGAAAGCACACAGCTGTTGCAACTACTATTTGGAACCTTGTTTTGGTTTTTATTATTCCTTTTATTAAATATTTCCTGATTAAATAAGAGAACAGCTTAGCTAGGATACATGTAAATTAGTTAATAAAAATAACCATAACCAAATAAATCCTGTGAAATTGATGTTGCTTTAAAATCCACTAAGTATTATCTGCTACCATCCGTATTCTTAAATTCCAGAGAGTAAGATTTCTGTGGCTTAGAAATATGCAACATACCTAATCCATGGATTGTATTGTAATCTATATCAGTACCACAAACATATGCTCCAAAGTGTGCTGAGGAGATTAGAAGGCCGCCTATGAAGAGGAGAAAAGGGGAAAATATAAACTGCTGCCATAAATGTTACCTGTGCTAGGATTTTTTTTCTCGGGAGCTTCAGGAGTTTACACCAGTAGCAACACACTACACCCAATGCTAGACCCAAGAAAAAAAAAAAAAGAAAAACAAAACAAAAACCAACAAAGTAAAACTACCAACCACTTAGAATCATGATGCAACTATAACCAGTGCTAACAGCACTTAATAACACTAAGTCCCTTGTCTGCTATACCTATCTTCCTTATCTTGCTATGCCCTATGTCACTCCTTATTTCTGGAGACTGTTCTTAGGAGCTTGCTTATGGTTTTCTGTATTTCGAGGCAGTAAGATCCTTTAATCATTACATGAACTGAAACTCTTAATTCTACTTGGCAAGGAGCAGAATTTCAAATTGTCAGAAAATTTAAATTGTTGGAAAAATCATTACAAAACAAATGGCAATTCTACCAACATCTGTTCTCAAAGTCAATCACCTTAATTCTGTTTAAAATCAATCCTGTTGCTGATTTTGGCCACTCCCTGAGTAAGAAGCAATGGTCAAGAACCTTCTAAGTATTTCCAGCGTAAACAGCAACATCAAAAAGTTTTCTATAATTGTTTTGCTGTGTGAAAACTATAGAGATGCATTTTTCTGTGAGTATGCTGCCTATTTTGTCAGTATATTTATCAGCAGGATCACCCTGGAACTAAACTATTTTATTAAACATTACTATTGTGATCTGCTTTCCTAATTAAAAACATAACAAAAAGCCAGAAAAGTACACGTGATTTCCACTTGAAATTTGGCAATGACTGAACAGCCACCAGAAAAGAGCAAATTATTTTATCTCTTTAACAGCTTTCAAATGAAAAGATGGATGGACAGCAGGAGATTATCAAAGAGCTGTGCTGTCAAGTTGTTAATAAGGAGGTATGCAGCTCACATGGTGAATTAATGAGAACAAGGCTGTGAACCCCACACTACTGATGTCAGCTGCTTATGGATACAAACAATCCTGCTAAAATAAAGGGGATGACTGCTACAGGACCAAGGGTTGAGCAAGCAAGCTTGCTGTGCAGGTGACTCCCTTTTGCTGCAGCGTGGAGTGGCATCTCAAATGGCAGCACTGCTCCATGCCACCCACTGAGCACTGACAAATCCCTAACATGCCCTGCATGCACAGGCTAAAATCCCTGTCTTGGGCACTAGAAAATTCCTACACAGTGTGCTAATGAACTTTACCAAAACTGAAGGTGAGGGAGAAAACCAGAAAAAATTCCTCTGCTTTTTTTGTGTGTGAAATGGATCAGGGAAAAGCAAGGTTACTCACCCCAGAGGAGTCACCCATTTCCCTTCTTGGCTGCAATCCCTCAGAACAGATGGGCAGTACCTCCAGAGGGTCAAGACAAATTTAGCTAGCCCTGACCCCAAGTATGGCATACCACCCAGTCCTATAAAAAAAGTAAGAAGAAAGTACTTTGCCCATCTAAGAATATTTTTAATTACAGAGGAAAAAAGGGTTTCAGTTAAGAAAACATGAACTTACAGCTTTTAATAAATTTCAGGTGGTACTAGCTCAATTGTGTTCACACAGAAGGTGCATGAATATTTAAAAACTAACATGGCCAGCCCTTTGCCCTACTATGGACAAAAGAAATATAATCAAAGGGTTAATCAGTGAATCACTGTGTCCCCAGTGATTATCAGCAGAACAGTGATGGCACAGAACTTCACACCTTTCTATCCTGCTCTATTTCCCCCATCTCTTCAGCATAGGTGGGGCCCTGGTCATACCACTATCCTCCAGGATGTCAAAGAAAACATTTCTGTCATTTGCAATTATGCAGTATCACGGGCAAAGTAGTGACAAATATCCTTCAACAAGCTTACTGAGCTATCCTGAACAGATTGTCGAGGAGAAAGTACATTCAGGTAAAAGACTTAATTTATTCTTCCAGAAACCTCCAGGTTTTCTTCTGCCCAACACTGAGGAAAGAATATTGAAACAGTTTACAGAAATTCTGTTTTATATCTCAAAACCAATCCTAGCTAGTCCAATTCTGCTTCACAAAAAAGGGGACTCAAGTCTCCTAAACCAGCCTGGTCAAAAGCACCTTTTTATTCCAAGGACAAATTCCAATTGCCCACTCTTACACCAATGTGGAAGACTTGTGACTTGGCTCAGTCAGCAAAACCAGTTTATTTCCAACAACCAAGCACCATCTTGCAAGGCCATTCTAACTTGGTACTATTAACCTTTTCAGCATAAAAACCAGGAAGAAGCCAAGCCAGGTATTAAAAGTTGCACCAATAAAGAAAACTTGAAAATGCTCCTCAAATCCTGAATGTATGTTCTTTCCAAACCCATCTTCTCAAAGTCACTGCATCACTCTCAACTACCTCACAGATTTCCACTGCCAGGGCACTGCTGCACTGACAATCTGGAAAATCCTCTAAAGGACCTCAAGAGACAACTGAAATTCCCAGGGTTTACCCACCGAAAGTAGGTGGCAAAGGCCACTGTTTACTTGTTTAGTTATAAATACACTTTAGTGATAAATGGTGTACTACCCAGTATCTCCAACTTCCCAAAGTACGCTTAAATATCAAGCCAATATAGCCCAGATGTCTCATGCAATAAACCCACAAAAACTGCAACTGAAATCATTAGGCAATCTGAGAATTTTGTGTATGCTACGTTCTGAACTGAAACACCTCTTAACATTTATCTTGCATTTATTAACATTTATCTTGCATTTCTATAGCTTCACCACTTCAGTGTGATTTACCCTTCCTTTCTTTTCCTCAATTTTCACTTAAAAGGAAATAAACAGAGAATTTTCTGTTTTAAGTTTAGCAGATTTTTGTAAAAAGACACAAAACCATAGACACCAAAACAGAACAAGCTGCTTAGAAAAGAGGCAGAGGACTTTCCTCAACCTTTCAAAGAGTACTACCCATCTACAAGGAACACAGGAACAAAGAGGAAGAAATTTTGTAAGACATTATGGTGCAGGCAAAAAAACAGGTCATGAATGAACAAGAATTTAAGACAAAAACATACAGTTCACAGAAGCCTCATGTTTCTGAAAATATTAAATCCCTGGTCTGTTTTCTATGGTACAAAGAAGCCACATACTAATACGAATTTGTCCTGCTAGTGACACTGTAGTGTTGTCTTCTCTCCCCCTAACTTCTCTGCAGTGATTTCCACAGCAAATTCTCTTCATCCTCTCATTAATGTAAGTATTTTTCATTGTACATGTCTCACATGTCACCTTCTTGATCAAAGTTTAGTAAATTCAGGTCAGAAACATAGCCTTTGTTATGCTTTTGGAGACATTACTATCAGTAGCTTAACACAATAGACACTTGTATGATTAAACAGCAGGAGCTGACACAACAGATCTTCTATTTCACCGACAAATAGCTGAGCTTCCCTTAGGCAAAACGCGCGTCTATGCCACACACAGAGTAACATGTGGAATAAGAGCTCCCCCTCCTGGCTCAATTAGGAAAAGTTCAGCTGGGGGCGAATACCTTGTGTGAGCGGTAGCATCTGAAGACCAGACATGATGGTACAAGGAAGTGATCGCTACCTTGAATGCTATGACCTAACTACTGCTATATTGTGTTATATGCTCAGAAGTGCCCTCAGCACTCCTCTAAAAAGCCACCTCCACAAATGCTGCTCCTTGTAACATTCTGAAAGCAGCTGCAGGGAGCACTCCAGCCAAATGCCAGTTTTTGGTCACTTGGTTGCCTTAAGCAGTCCATGACAACCACGAACTTGGTGTTTTAAGACACGTTACATGAAGTAATACAGTGAAGACAGACTTCTCAGAAGTGTAAAATAAACTGCTGACATTTTCTGAAGTTGATCTCCTTCCCCCAAAATCCCTTTTAAGTTAACAAAACTTTAATTTTAGAATCACCATTTTGCTTTTGTATCATCTCAATTACTAGTTGAGCACCAGAAGCCACTGCACCAGGAAAAGTGTGGTGTAAACAGTCACACAATCTCCCAGTTTTTCCTACCAGGAGAAAAAAACCTAAATATATACCTGTTCCCACAAATGGATCATATACAACATCGTTGGGTTTTACTCTCCCATGGTTTGCCATAATGAAAGACAGGCAGGCATCCATGCTCGTGTTTCCAATGAAGTGTCTCTTTTTTACACTGTAGGACTCAATAAGTTCTCTTTGGCCATCTGCAATCTGTTGAAGCATTTAAAAATCACTGTCAGGTCTTAGATACTTATATAAGAAGACATCTAACAGCTTGCAAGAACTGAAGCAAGCATATTCACGCACCCATCTACCAAAATACAGGTGAAAAGGCTCTTCTGGAACATTATTAGGGTCCATTCCATAATCTTCTAAAATCCAAAAGATGTGTTCTGGTTTCTTTAAATTTACTTTTCCTTTGAATGGCAGAAATTCAAGGGCCTGTACAACAAAATAAAACAGAATAAAAAAGTAACAGGGTCAAACCTTTTAAAGATGCACCCCTCAAAAAAAAAATAAAAGGGAAAAAATAAACCAGTTGTGAATATGATGCATTCTCAATTTTCTCTGGATTTACAAAATCCCTTCTCTTGTAACTAAAGATAGCTCAAATAATTAAGGATTAGCTATCAGGAACTGTTTTTAATTAACTGAACAGAATTCAACTTTAGAATAAATAAGCTGTACATATTATACAATTTTCAAGTTGCAGTGATGATGAAGAATGGAATTTAAAATTTCAGTAATGCGCAGCTACACCGATTTACACAGCATTATTTCATGTACACAAAAACTGAACAAAGAGGAAAGGGCAGCTACTATGAATACAGATCATTTCAGTCTCAGTAAACTAAGTACATAGACTAAATAGGTGCTAAAATAACATGTGGAAGAGCAAAAACTAACAGTATTTTAGAAAAACAGTCTAATTAAAATACTGATATAGTTAGGAGAGCACAAGTGTAGACAGGAGCATAAGGACAGAACAGAAAATCAGCCCACAGCTTGCAACTTAAGTCACTTGTTCCACATTCTACAACAATAAACACCTAAGATGGAGATCAAGTAACAGATTTTCTAAACACTTAGCACCTAACACTAGCCACTTGAATCCTATAGCTCTGGGCAATAAGCTTTAGTTTCCCAGGACACTGGGCTGAAATCAACAGTGATATTTGTCTTTACATAAGCCTTATGTGGTCTGTTCAGAGAAAAAAAAAAAAAACAACAAAACAAAGTAGTGAATTTTGAGGGAATGTTAATTCAGACACAAAGATCTCATTTAGAACTTAGTAGACATAAGCCGTAAACTGCGTTAAGACCTTCAGGAAAACAAAAATTAAATAAACAGCATGGAATTAAGACCAACATGAACAGATGAAATTAAATGTCAGATTTCTTAAACAACTACTTACATCTATCTTTTTTATTTTCTGTGCTTGGGTCAGTGTTTTGTTAAATGTATGAATATGTATTTTGTAAGTAGAGTCTGACTGCAGATATGGAAGCTGAAAAAGAAGCAAAGACACTTTCATTTGTACAGCTTCAGTGCTATTACCCCATTTTTTATAACAAATCTGGTCATTCTACAATGGAGCTATGGCATTGGTGGATAGGAACGGAGCAATTTATGTCATCTACCTGAACATGTGCAATGTGTTTGATGTTGTCCTGCACAACATCCTTGTTTTTAAATTGGAGAGGCATAGATTTGATGGGCGGACACATGGTGGAAAACCAAGAATTGGCTGGATGGCCACACTCAAACAGTTGTGGTCAACAGTTCAAAGTCCAAGTGGAGAATAGTGATAAGTGGTGTTCCTCAGTGGTCAGTATTGGGACCGGTGCTGTTCAGCGTCTTTGCTGGTGACAGTGGGATTGAGTGCACCCTCAGCAAGTTTGCTGATGACACCAAGCTGTGTGGTTTGGCTGATACCCTGGAGGGTAGGGATGCCATCCAGAGGGACCCTGACATGCTTGAGAGATGGGCCATTGCCAACTTCATGAAGGTTGGGTCAGGACACCTGGGTCAGGACAATTCTAGGCACAGTTACAGGCTGGGCAGAGAACAGATTGAGAGCAGCCCTGAGGAGAAGGGCTTGGGAATGTTGGCTGGTGAGAAACTCTGCATGAGCCAGCTTCAGTATCTGCTTGCAGCCCAGAATCAACTGTATCCCAGGCTGCATCAAAAAGAGTGTGGCCAGCAGGTCAAGGGCAGTGATTTTCCCCCTCTACTCTCATGAGACTCCACCTCAGGGTTCAGCTCTGGGGGGCCCCAACATAAGGAGATGAACCTATTGGAGCAAGTACAGAAGAGGTCCAAGAGGATGATCAGAGAGCTGGAGCACCTCTCCTATGAAGACAGGCTGAGACAGCTGGCCTTGCAGAGAGGCCTCAGAGCAGCTTCCAGTGCTTAAAGCAGGCCAATAGGACCACTGGACAGAAACATTTTTACAAGGACAGGTAGTGACAGGGCAAGGGGGAATGGCTTTAAACTGACAGAGGACTGATTTAGATTAGATATTAGGAATAAATTCTTTAATTTTTGTGAGGGTGCTGAGGCACTGGCACAGGTTGCCCAGAGAAGTTATAGCTGCCTCGTCCCTGGAAGTGCCCGAGGCCAGGTTTAACAGCCTCATCCCTGGAAGTGCCCAAGGCCAGGTTTAACAGGCCTTTGAGCAACCTGGTCATGGAAGGTGTCCCTGCCTGTGGCAGGGGGATAGAACTAGATGATCTTTGAGGTCCCTATCAAGCCCAAAACATGCTATGAGTAAGGAACCATTTTATCCACATGTTTTATAAGCATACCATCTTGTCCACTGGATAGTTCTTCAAAGATGCATAGAGCTCTCCTGCAGATCTTCCATGACCCCACAGTTCAAATACAGATCTGAAATTACAAAGTTTAAGAGTGCAGTAATGCGGAGGGACAGAAATACCTTACAGATACTTCTTCCTTTTAATCTTCTTGGACAATGTACTTAAGCTTTGCTTCATGGACTGCTGAAATTCAGTAATTAACTCTTAGCACATGCTTAGGTTTTGTTCTTAACAGGACACACTTAATTTTATTCCCAAGGTGGTTTTTCAATTATGCTTTTTTGTTTGGTAACATGTCCTAAAAGTTAAATTTCAGTCTTAGTACCCTTGGCTATCACAGACCTTTTCCTAGCACACAGTGATATCAGCAAATGAGACAAAATTCATTTGCACCTACCAATTTGATGAGGTAAGCAAAGGCTGAAAAAGGTCAAGAGCAGACTTACAGTGTTATGCTGCCCTGGAGTAACACAAATGGTCATTATATGCAAGACGCAGTTTCACATCTCAGAGGTTCTGTCCCGTTTTAAGATGTGGTTATGACGTTTGACATTTTGAGATGCTGAAATACTGTCATCTTATTTTGCCTGTTTTCTTAATGTCAGCTTTAAGTATTGCCTTGAAGATGAGAGAACTGATGCTACTGTAATGAAGGCTAACACCACATCACAGACCTCTCCCCCAGCAGTCAAATATCTCAACCAAGTGCCTTTCCATATAAAAGACAAAAAACCAAACCCTTTTAGTACAGGAATCCTAATGTCACTGCATTTGTTGTTAGACACTCATATGCACATTTGCAACACACTATAAACACAGTCTTTAAGGACTAGAATACTATGGAGCACCTTTTCAAAGAATGTTCAAAGATTTAGCTCACTCAAACAAAACCAACAGAACTACATTTTACTAAGTGACAACAACAGATACCAAAGCCCAGTGATAATTTTGTTAATGTACTCCTTTCCTGAATAAATTAAGGCTGTATTTCTAACCTGCACCCTACCCTGAAAAAGAGAGTGCTTTTTTGCAGTGCCTATTTTTTAATGAAAGCATCTGATTCATCTACTGTGAGAATTTAAACTGTATTTATAGACAAAGCAATGAAAATGCTGACAGCATAAGCCATCAGAGAACTGAATCTTTTAATTTTATTAAACTGTTAGAGAAATTCTTCTAACAGGCCTGCTTCTTACTTCTACACTTACATGTGTATGTGGGCAAGGGGGTGAAACCAACACAAAATGTTGGGAAGATTTTGCTTAGATAAATGTATGCTTCAGAACTTCTAATTTTTATTAGCAATACAATGGAGATGCTTCAGCAATCTTACTCTAAAATAAACATACCTCCCCACAGCCAGTAGTAGGTCAGTAAGAAAATCTGGACCTGTTATGCTTTCTACATCAGATAAGCATACATTAGCTTGGAGAGCATGGCATATGAAGCATCTGCAAACTTCTTTAGACATCTATGGCTGCTTTTTGAAGTACATTACAGCTTTTCTCCATTGGAAATATACTGTCATAAAGACAATTTTGTACACATGGGGTTCCTTTAGGCAAGAGTGGACAGCCCAAGTCATTGCAGGTAAAACTGAACACCTGACACAAACAGCACTCAACAGGGACCACGCGACACTGCGCAGAGGCACCCAAACTAACTCTGAACAAGACAGCACAGACTTAGTATGGTCACAGAGTCATACCACAGTCATGTTGCTTCTCATTCTGAACCATACCTCTGAGGTATCTCTCAAGCCTCAACAGAAAGCATGTTATTCAGACACCTCTGAAAAAGACCAAAAGCAGCTGGAACAATCACACTGTGGCATATTTCTGTGGTCTTGAATTTTCTAGAAAGACTACTGTTGCAGCAGTCTGGGCTGAGGGCTCAGATACCAGCACTAGGAAGGCCCGTAACCTTTCCCTTACAAACAGGATTTTCATTTTTTTTTACACATCACTAGTTTTATCTTTTGATTCCAGACGTATTTTAAAACAAGCCAGTAACTAAACAGTACTCAAGGCAACTAAAACACTGTGACACTACAGGTCAGGTACTGGCTCTGCAGTGAAGAACACTGCTTCAAGACCCTGCACTGATTGTACACTAAGTAGAGAATGGGCATGCTACACAATCAGTCCTATAGGCTCCAGTAATGTCTTCTCAGTTCTAGAGGTAATCGGAGACTGCTTAAGACTCTATACAAAATTAGTACTAATTTTATATACGTATATATATGAACAATTTTCCAACACTTATATTACCATTTACAAGATTTTTCACCTCTTACTTTGCACATACTGTCCGTTTCATCAGTCCCCTTGCCATCTCTTCTGTAGGAATATTGAGAATCCAAAATGGAGACTGAAATAAAGAGAAGATAACTGAGGCAAATACCGAGCTGGAGGATGTCACATGGCTTACATAACTACACGATTCTGTTTTATAAAAACAGAATACGCATGCTGAAGATTTTAAAAATAGATAAACAGGTGACCTGTGCAGAGAACATAAGAATAAAGCTTTTAATTCGAGACAAATATGTATACTTGGCTTCAGTGTCTGAGAAATTAGTAGGTATTTCATTTTCCCACCACATCTTTGACTTGGTAAAATACTATTATTTATGCTTCTCTAGATTATTCATCCTCCAAAAACTCAAAATACCTCGTTACGTACAAGCAGTAAGTAAAACTCAGTAATGTTCTCTGAATAAGCACCAAGACCACAATCACAGAGCTTCCTAGCTTCACTCTTCCAAGATACGCTGCCTCACTGATTTAGTCAAACACTAAATTCAAACCACTGCTGATTTCCTGGCTCGGATATTCTGAGAAGTCAGGAGAGCCTCCCAGCAGGTGGCACTGCCTCCTTTCACACCGTTGATTTAAGCCACCCTGAGGTGCATGTCATGCATCTTTTTAATCAGTCCCGTGTCTTCACTGAATTTGAGAATTGCCTGGTTTTGGAAGATGCCTTATTTCCCTCAGAAAATTCCAAATTTATTCTGCGACCCACATTTAATAAAAATACTACAAAAACCATACTTGCACACCATACCTGCAATCAAGTAAAACATTAAGCTCTCACTTACATTTACACGAATTTCCTGCTCACCACTGAACTGTCCACCGTGAAGTGAGAGCAAAGATTTTATTTCCTAAAGTGAAAATATAAAGGTCAGTTTTTAGAAGCATTAATTAATGTTTCAAAGAAAGGAAAAAAAAAATCAGCATGCATAAATTCTAATGCAGATGGTGATCTCCACAGGAATTATAACAAACTGAAACAAGAATGGCTTAATATCAATGTTTTCAATGCATGACAAAACAAAGAAGAGTTAGTAGGTGAAACAATATGATACACCATTAAAAGTGTTACTTTTTCTTGTTAAACTAACTTACTGGGTATACCTCAACAGTGCTCTGCAATGCCATGTTATTTTACTAATTCAATAGACAAATGTAATTTTTAAAAGACACTTTAAATATTTTAAACTGGGTTTGTGTCACTGGAAAAGGGTGCACAGAGAATCTGTGGATGCCTCATCCCTCGAAGTGTTAAAGACCAGGTTGGATGGGGCTTTAGGCACCCTAACCTAGTGGAAGGCATCCCTGCCCATGGCAGGAGGGTTGGAACTAGATGATCTTGAAGGTCCCTTCCAACCCAAACCATTCTATGTACTATGATACTATGAATTATAAGCAAAACATCAGAGATAGCAACAGAAGAATGAACAGTTTTTATTACCAACTAACTGTGGGAACTGACAGTGAAACACTAAACATAGATATGTGGACAGAGCAGAGATCCACAATTAAATTCAGCTCTTATGTACTGTTCATGAACTGAAAAAAATTTAGACTCTCCTGGAAAAACAGACTCTCACAACATTTCTCTTACAAAATTATTCTATTCTTCAAATATTTTTTGGACTTTCATGTAAAAGCCATGTCTCACCAGTAACAATGCCAGACCCAGCACTGAGTACCAATTCCTTTTCTGTTACCTCTTGGCTTTACGGGTATCTCAACAGTTTTCTTCCATAGGTGTCTTTTCCCAAGTAAATTAAATCATTATTTTTCCAAAGTAAATGAAATTGAGCATTTGTAAATTTGCAAATGAAACTGACATTGCCTTATTTGTTTCCATTTGCATAGAAAGGACATAAGAAAACACTGGAAGGAAGTCTGTTACAAGAGAATAGAAGTTTATGCACAGCTATTTTGTTGTATGGTAATGGGATAGAAAAAGCACCTGAGATTTTACACATGATATTAGTGGCATCTCCACACACTACTGGTAATATTAGCTACATAAAAGTGACAAGAAAGAGAAGCATAAAAATCACAACCTGTGAGAAAAGGCTTGGAAAGAAATGCAAGCATGACTTCTACACACATGAAGGTTGCAGATAAAGGAAAGTAATATTTTTGACATTTACTAAGAGGAGATGAGAGCACTGGCTTCAGATGACAGCAGTGCTGTGGATGAGAGGTTGGGAAGATCCTTACAAAAGTAAAGACAGTGAAGCACCGGAACAGATCTGCCAGAAAATACTGGTAAGTGAACATCTGACATGCATCCATCCACCTGTCCATCAGAGACACTGTGTGCTGAAAAAGGAATCAGGATGCCCGATGTCAGCCCTCAGTATCTGACTCAACCGAGGAGAAACCCCAGACTATGGAGCACAGTTTCCTACCGACTAAGAAATAAGAAAACATGGAACTTCATCCTACAGGCACTTAACCACAAATGTCAGCTTCAACAAACACCTTGTGCTGTTGTGATCTAGCACCATCACCAGAAGAAAAGCAGGCCTCTTGCATCCCATATGCAGGTGTGCTAGAGCTGGAGATCAGGCAGCTGCATCTTGCTAAGAGAGTCTGTCCTTGCTTGTTTCATTAAGTTTCAGACAAATCAGGTCCCTAATGCTGCTCATTACAAAGCCAAACATGTGGTTGAGCAGTCACCAGAGTACAAGGAAAGGGAAATGGAGCTCCTGGAACAACCAAATAGAACTACAGCCTTCATGAAAAAAAAAACAAAACAAAAAAAAACAACAAAAACCAACCAACCAACAAACAAACAAAAACAACAAACCCTTGCTGTGTACGTATGGATCATCTTTCTTTTACTTAAAGACTTTGCCTAAAGAAAAACTGGTTTGATCATAAACAAACTCCTGTTCCAGTCTCACAAAGCAGACAATAAAAAGTATGCACAAAAGCATGAAAAATAATGAAAACAAATTATACAACACACATTAAGTATTTAAAAACGTGTAAGGATGACCTACCAATTCTAACAAAATAACTCTGCATTTCAGCACTACTTTAAACAACAGCAAACCACGCTGGATATCCTATTACTAGCTCTTCAAGATGGTGCCTAGTGGAGCGCTTAGGAGACCAAAATTTTTGTAGTGTAGTAACACTTAAGTCATCCTGGGAAAAAAATAAATCATAACCTAAATTTTAAAATCAGAGGGTTTTCTTATAAACTCATAAATTGAGTGTTATATTAAACTAGATATGCACCAAGGGCGCAGAAAAAAACACCAGGACCTCACAAAGAATAGCAGGGAGCTTCAGATGTTACTTTTTTTTTTGTTTTACATGATTTCTGCGAATACCGCTCAGTAAGATGAAACCAATTTGGTGACAGCCAAGAGGCATAAACATGCCCATGGCAAGCAGACAGCAGTCCTCGAGGCAGCAGGACCTGCTGGCTTCCGCACCCTGTGCGCTGCTATCCTACCACACAGGGTTTGCTCACGGGTCCTGTGTCAGCCAGAGTGGCACAAACCCTTCTGATCACACGGAAACCAATACTCAGGATCAAAAGCCAGAAGCGAGCAGCCTTCAGTGCCGTCAGTAAGACTCTGAGGAAGGGGGCTTGTGACCAGGACTCCAGCCAAGGCACTGGAGACCTCCATTAGCTCCCGGCCTGCGAGGCAAGACATTTCAGGGAAGCCCCATCCTAGCTGCACCCCAATAAAGACATCTGGCCCCTCCAGCGCCGCACAGCTCCACCAGTGACTGGGTCAGAGAGGATCTCACCTGTTGCCAGGTCAGCACCAACCATTTATGTACCCACACTATGCTAGTGGGAGCAGATACATAGTTAAAAAAAAAAAAAAAAGTCACCACAAGACCTTAAAAACACTTCTGTAAACAAAGTTCTCCCTACCAGTTTCCATTTCTGATCTGAAGCCCCTAGTACTTTGCTGGCAACCTCTCCTAGCTCCAAAGGCTCTTAAAAGCAGACAGTCCTGCCTTATAGGCACCATGAAGAGGCTGTCCATGGAGGCTGAAGCAGGAGGAGGAAGCTACCTTCCGCTAAGCCCGAAGGCAGAAGGCGTAGCCCCGCGCCCAGCGCCGCCTGACACAGGACGCGGAGAGGGAAGGGCCTCTGGCGCCCTTCGCCCGGCAGCCGCAGGCGCTCCCAAGACAGGCGGGGCGGGCAGGAGGCGAGGCCCCACCGCGACCGGCCACTTCCCGGGGACGCCCGGAGCTGCTCCCGAGGGCAGAGGCTCACCCGGCCCCCACCACAACGGGCCAACCCTCCCAGTGCCCTGGGCACAGTCCTCATCCCGACGTGCTCACCGGCAGGCGGAACTCGAGGTGCTCCTGCGCCAGCAGCAGCAAATACCGCCGCAACGATACTGCCGGCAACGCCATGTCCAGCCATTCCCCGCCTCCCCAAGCCGCATGCGCTGCCGGGCGGGCCCAGCGCCGCAGCGGGAGCCGGAGGGGCGGGAGGGGCGGGAGCGACGGGAGGAGTCTGCCGGCTTCGGGGGGAAGGCGGCGTTACCAACTCTACCACAGCTGCCGGTAAAGGGTATGGGACTAATAGACTCCGCTGTGGGGCTCCGACGGCGGAGGCTATAGCCACGGTGCAGGGGACGGGATAAAGTACGGCTCTCGGTCTTGATTAATTACTGCTTATTTCACCTCCTTCTCACTCTTTTTTTTTTTTAACTTACGTCACGTGTCAGTGCAGCGGTACCGGTATATAAAGAAGTAAATAAATACATGTGTACTAGTCATGGGGGAAGGCTGCCGTTTCGGGCCGTGCACCCTTGTCCGCGCAACTGCGGCCTCGCCTGCCCCGGGCAGAGCTCTCCGTCGGCAGAGCAGGTCGTTAATAACACCAAGAATTAACAGGCGCCGAAGGGGTCACGTCCGTTTTTCCAGGGGAGGGATGTCAGCTCTGGCGACGTGGGGGTAAGAGCAGATAGAGACAGAAACAGATTCCCGATAAAGGGACAGAGAGAGATGTGGCTGTCCAACAGGGGCTCAAAATAACCAAATAGGCCTTTATATTGCATCTATTGTTTTATTAACATTTAGACTTGCTAGCTATAATCCCTTACTCACTGCTTTCCCTGTTATGCTGAGCTGAAAAGTTTGGCTTATCCAGATTTCGCTAAGCTTTTTATTAGGACGAGGCCAGCTCAGCGCTGAATTCATGTTCTGTATTTTCTGTGCTAATTTTTGGACAGCCTTTTTTTTTCTACGACTAAGATTTTGCTCATGACCTGTGAGCCCTGCATGGGCAGTGTTCTATATGGCCCTCCATAATCTCGTTTTGCAGTTTCTTGTGTTCTGTTTTCCTGCAGTAATCAAAACTCAGGCTTGCTGTAAAGCTTTAGGTGTGACCATTGACAAGAAAACAATCTAAATGTGAACTTTCCTAGAAGAGAAAGAGGTAGATAAGGATCAGAGTTTTTTCACCTCAGCAGTTGAGTGCGGAGACCCAGCAATAAACACTGAACTGCTGACAAACCCCATGTGTCTGAGGTTGCTTCCAAAACCTTGAGGTTGCTGAAAGACATGGAGTGAAAGAAGTCTGCTTTTATTTTTCCAATCTGTCTCCCCTTAAATGTCTTAGCTGTATAGCTCCCATTTTAGAAACCCCTTAGAAGGGAGTGTTATTGGTACAGTTTAAGCTGAATCTCTTTGAGACTTGCTTACTTTATCTAGAGAACACTGCTGTCTGCTCTCAGAAGCTGAATGCCTGTTTTCCAGTGATATTGTTTTCCAGAGAATTTAAGTGAAGTCCTGTTTTTTCCTGCTTTTGTCTAGAGGATCCATGGATCCATGCAAAATTACTGGCAGTCTTTATGTGCTGCTCAGGACAATCTGAAAGTGTATGTATGTTAATAAGTAAGACTTGCAGAGTATTTGATTCTGACATAAAAACAAAGTGCTTTTTAGATGCTGTGTTTGAAAACTTTACAGACTTGTACTGCCTGAGGAGAGTCATGAAGTTTGTCAGTGTGGGTTTGGGGAGTCATGTTGACAACACTACATAGCTGTTTTAGGGAGGGGAAGGAAGAAAACAAAATCACTCTTTTTAGCCTTCAAGGGAATTTTAAGGATGCAAAATGTAATTACTCAAATTCATATTTATCTAGGAAGCTAAAATTAACCACCCTTCTCTCACAAAAAATATAACAACAGGATCATATGGCACTCATGAGTTTCAATTTAAAAGGGGAGGACTATGAAAAGCTGTTATTTCATGTGTGTTGCTGCTTGTTGTTCTGTGTTGTCTTTTGCAGCCATTGTGTTGCCATCTCCAGCTCACCCCATGCACTTTTCTAGACTCAAAAGGCAACATGAGTGGTGTTTGACTGAAACTTGCATGTTCTGCTGGGAACTCTGGGAGAGCTCTGTCGCTGCTCATGGGGTTCACATGCAACAGCAGCTATGTATGTATATAGGCAAGTAAGAAACCTTACCAAAAAAACCCACAATGCTTTTAAAATAGACACACCTAATCTATAATTCAGTTATTAAATTGTTTAGAAATTGTATTTCTTATTTCCCCATAGAAAAGCCAGCACTAATCCTCTATTTTATTTCTGAATATCTGTAAATAAAGTAGCAGCTCTACTACTATGCTGATGGAAACACTAATGTGTCTATTCCAACAGGTGAAGGATACAGTCAATCAAATACATGGTTATAACACATTTGGATCTCTATAGGTACTTATAAAAGTCTGTCCCTAATTCATAAGAATAATTACATACTGCACAGATACTTGAAGTACTCATAATCCCATGTGTAGCAGTTCCCTTGCTAGCAGCCTGCCTGTAGGTTTTAGTAGTCAGACATGGCTGTGCAGCACAGCCGTTTAAGGGAGAACTATCTATTCTGATTTGGTTTTCTTCACTATGTAGGGCATTGCAGACGGTGCCAAGCTCACTAACTGGATTTTTACTTCTCTCTTCAGTGCCCGATGAGGAAAATCCCCCTGGTCCCACCACATATTGGCATTATAGATACTGTTTTCTGCGGATAATAATTTCTGTCAGTGTGTGGGAACCTCATCAGCACAGTGTGGGTTTGTCCACCTTTAATCAGTGTGCAGGCAGGAGAAAGGGTGCCCAGTCCTGCCTATGGGTTGGTGCCTCTTGCAGAGTGGTTTGCTCTCTTGCCTGTCAGTAAGCCTGTGCTGAACAAGTCAGCCAGCACAGTGTCAGATTGTTTTAGAAGTCTGCAGGGCTGTCGAGGGTAAGGATAAAGTTCTTTAAAAGGCATCATTGCATGAAGAGTAAGTACTGCACTGCATTTGTGTTGCATGGGGGTGTGGGACTGGTGGTACGCCCTATAACCTGTAACTTACTGCCTGGTATTACAAAATTACTCTGAATTTCAGCTGAATCGCTTCTACTTTCTTCATTGCTGTAAAATTATGGGTGGACTTAACAAAATCTTCAGACGTTTAACAAGTTTTTCACCAGCAAAACTCTCTCAAAAATTATCAGGCTGATCTGTTGTTTTTGCTTCACAGCCGACAGCATACCCAGGAACCACAGTTACAACCAGCCATTGATTTTTTTCCTGCTTGAGTGCCATAAAACATTTTCAAGAAATGGAAGAAGATAAAGGGCAGAGTGCTAAAGCTACCAGTGTGGTGGGTGACTTGAGGAAAAGTTGGCAGACCTGGGCAGAGGATCACATTGAGTATCAGAGAAAGAACCCATTCAGCAGCGAGGACAGGCTTGCATCTAAACCGGTGCATACTCACAGAGGAGATCCTACCTATGGGAGACCCCCTGAAGGGTCTCGGACAGAGCAGAGAGGGAAAGATGCTCAGTCACACGTGGGTAAGGAACTTGAAGAGCTGTGCTTGATCATCAAAAGCATTGGAGAGGTGGGAGAAGATGGACATGTGAGTGTAACATTCGGGCAGCTGTTTGAGACATATGTGACTATTTCCAATAAAGTAGTAGGAATCTTGTTAAGAGCCAGAAAACACGGTCTGGTTCATTTTGAAGGTGAAATGCTTTGGCAAGGAAAAGATGATGGTGTGATCATCACTTTACTAGAGTAAGGCTTTTTCATCTAATGAATTCTGCTGCATGGTTCCATTGTAAACATGTATCTAGATAACATCTTTAAAGAGGTTTTCATTACCGAATTCCAACTCAGCTACTTACTGTGACATGAGCAGGAGAGAAAGTGGGTGAAAAAGATAACGGTATTTTTGTAAAAATGGTAGAGATTTGGACAGAAACCATAAATGATGAACTAACCAATCACACTGCCATTGGATTGTCCTTTCATTATTATAATCCACTACCAAATATACCACAGTTCTTCACATAACTCTGCTGGCTTACTGCTTTAGGTTGCAGAAAGTATAAATTACGAACTTGCTACCATACAACACTGATTCTTGTGTGCTGGGAAATACTGTGTGTGGGACTTTGATTTGTAAAACATGGAGTTGGAGACCTTCATGGGAGCTCATATACTTCAAAAAAAAACCAGCCCTGTACATAGCAAAATTTAGGTTATTTTTGCATGGTGATACTGAATATGGAAGTGCTTTTCATGAAGTATATGAAAGTTCCCAAATTTTCAGAAATATCACAGCAAGGGTATTTGATGGTTCCTAAATGCGTTGCATCTTGCGTGTGTTTTGGAGACATGCACTGCTCCTGGTATTTAATAGTCTGTTCTTATCATCGTATCTTCTCCAAACCTTCCATGTCTCATTTTTCCTCTGTATCTCACATCTTTTTTACCTATTCTGTTCTTCTAATGCTGTGTCAGACTGTAGAAAATCAGAAAGTTCTGCAAGCTTTTTTGGTGAATTCAGCTATACCTCTTCATTGAAGGTAGGGTGCCACAAAAAAACATGTGATGTGAAAGACAGCAGAAATTGTTTCTAGTATATTAGGGCACTGTGTGTTCATGAGGAAAAACCAAAAATCTAGCACTGTTGTTTGCAAGAGGAGAGTAGAGACCCTGTAGTACCAAATGCATAAATAGAAGTTTAGCGGTGCAGTCTCATACCTTATTTCTGTGGAGGAGCTGTGCTTTCAGAGCACAGTTGGGAGTTTTCCAAACTGGGAGAAAAAATGGTCAGCTAGTTGAAGCTGAGACCGAAAGGTGACTGATCATGATTGGTTCGAGGCACTTTGGGGGGAACTTTTTCTGTGCTGAAAACAAAACCAAAAGATTGGTTATGTACGATAGTTGTAATAATGCTATTAAAAATAATCGGGAGCTGTATATACAGCAGTTCACACCAAGAAACTGTATCATTAGAAAGACAAATATATCTATATAAAATACATATTTTTATGAGGGTAAATAAAAGTTTTTATGTGGTGTTAACTACACTACTTGATGGATCTTTAAAGTAAGATATTCTCTTGCCTCAAAAGGATATTGAAATTTAATATAAATTATGAACTTGATAAAAGTGGTAGATTATTTGATGCTGATTATACAAAAGAATAATTTTCTTGCAAAAAGCTTAAAAGAGTGGTTTTTTGTATTGACATTTTCATCCAATAGGGATTTGTATTAAAGTAAGCCTTTGACTAAACAAATAAAAATACAGATTTCATTATCCCTCTGCAGCCTTCTCCTAGTGAAAAGACAAAGTAGAAAAAAAGGAAGAAATTAATGTGCTGAAATAAGTGGACAGGGGAATCACATGCAGGTAGAGCACGCATGGGGAAACAAAGGATGGGTCTGAATCGCCACATAATTTTACCAATTTTACCATGTTGGAAAGGGAAGATGTACTGCACTAGGCATTGCTGGTGTGTGTTCCCTTAGTTTTCCAATCCAGTCCTTCTTCCTGCACAAATTGTTATCTTGCAGCTGAAAATGAGACATAGATTTTGTGAACTTAACACATTTGAAATGTGTTGTTGCTGGAACAGCATTTCTTGCCCAAATGACATGAGTGCACCTCAGTGGATTTTGGTTCCCATTAGATAAAGCCTGTACATATATTTTGATTTCAAAATGAATCAAACTTTTTACAATACAACTATGAAATGCAGGTTGTTTTAATACTAACAATTTTGGAATCTAGTCAGTTCTGCCATAGCATTAGCTCATAGCTTGCAGGAAGCAGTAGCAGGTGGTTCAGATGACACCAGCTCACTAACAGGATGGTGGTAGCAGGAAAACCAATACATTACTAGACACTGTACAAATGATACATTAAAGGACACACACTTGAGGCAGGCAGTGTGTAGCCTGAGCACTGTAAGATGGAAGTCCAGCTCATGTATACTCACTAGTTCTTAATTAAGGCTGGCTCAGGTGGCTAAATGTCAGGAATCTAGGCTTCCAGTGCCATGTAAGTAGTTAACGTTCGATTCTTGCATGGCCTCTGCTGCACTCTCCTGCTGCCAATTGCTTTAAATATCACTTGAGTACAGATAGAGCTTTAAGCACATCTCTGATCAAAACAAGCAGGGTAAGCCCTAATGAAGTGGTCTTACCCACTTCATAAGCAACTAAAAAAAGCCCTATCATGGTATTTTGAATAAAACCAAGGCTTGTTATAAAAAAACATTATTTATAGCGGAATGGGGAGATTTTAAGAATTACAGGGCCAAATTTCCTTCCAGCTTTAGATGAATATTCTCTATAGGGTGACTGAGATCTTTCTATGTGCCCATCCAATACTTATGAACACCAAGCTGACAGACTGGGGCAGGGTGCAGGTTGACAAGTCCAATCTCCTGCTTCCAGCAATAGCCAGTATTTCAAGAGAAGTCTAGAAGGTAGATAATACAATTGGTCAGCTCGTCCACTAGTACACTCCAGAATAAGAAACTACTCTGAAGCCTTTAGTCACAAATGCATCATATTGAATGCACATGACTCAATTTAGCTACTAGTTCACAAGCTTAACACAATTTTTCTTCCTCATCTGTTATGTGGAGATCAGACAGGCATCTACAGATGAAACAGGAATTTAAATTTTTCAACAGGCAATTTTTTTTTTGTAACAGGCTCCCATTAGAGTAAGTGGAACAGAATTTAGTAATTATTTCTAGTATTAGAAGTTTTCTAGTATTACAGCTTATCTGGAGTAGTAAGTAAACTCTGACCTTCTAAAAGGTGTTCTTGCTCTACCGAGTACCTTTCAGCTCTTCAAATCTCTCCTAAATTTCTTTGTGGCAAGCTCCCTCAGTGGTCTTTTCCTCTTCTGCCACTTGAAGCCTGTGAATTCTGCAGCTGGTTTAGACTGTACACTCTATGGGGACTACCTGTATTTTGTCAAGCACTGAAGGCACTTTCAGCACTTCAATAAATGTTGCACATCAGACTGCAGTTGACAGCAAGTGAATTTTTATGTTTCCAAGTTTGTCAGATTTCAAATGTGATTTTCACTGGTTTGCTTCCATTTTTATGCTTCTGTTTGCCACTCGCACTTAAGATGACTTCAGATTACCTTGATTACTACTAGTTACTAGTTTAATCACATGGTAAATGCTGTCCTTAGTCAAAACACAAACCTGTTTCTTATTCTGGATTTAACAGTGCTGTGTATCCGTTTCATCCTTTCAGAGGGGCAGTTAGTGCTTAAGTGTAAAAGCTTTATTCTCTGGGTTCGAATTAGGTTGGGAATTAATGCAAAACAATTGAACAAAAAAGCACAAATAAACCTTTGTATTTCCTAAACTTGTAGTCAAAAAAGCAGCTTTTCTCAGGACAGCTAATACTGGATCAAAGAACAACAGAGCCAGCAGCAGTGGCTAAACCACTTTGCTTCTCCAGGCTCCTGAAGAGCTGCCAAGTTACGCTCCAAGATAGTTTTATTGCTCTTTGTGCTAGAGATGATTTTGGAAGTTTTAAAATGATGTTAATAATGCTGCTGTAGAAGAAAGTGACAGTTAACCGGGTCTGCCCACCACCTTTTCCAGGGGCTAGCCAGGAATTCTGAGTGATATTCAAAGCATTAGGCTTTTCATAAAGTATTTCTTTGCCTAATTAAAAAAGTTACCTGCTGAGTGCAAGAATGGTTGTCAATATGGAAAGAAAATGGAACACAGTTCTATGCTCAAAAACACTTAACGAGATACTGAACATCCGTCTCAGTAATTAATGTGTCTCTGTTTAATGCTTTGTTGTTTGAGCCGATTTGAAGCCTGTCTGCTGCTGTCAGAGACAACTTGAATTCCCTATCTTGCTCATCAGTAAAAGTTTGGAAGCTAGATTGTATACTGATTTGTACCTTTTCAGTCTTACTGTCATTACTGGGACTCTTCTCAAATGGAAGACATAGAAGTTGATCTTTATGCTTGTGTGTACATTTGAGAACATACTGGGTGTGTCTGGGATGGAAAGTTTTCTGCAGAGCAGCCTGTAAGGCACTATGTTTTGGGTTGGTGATGGAAACAGTTGCTTAACACACCAGTGTGGTTATTGCTGGGCAGTGCTTGCACCATCAAGGCCTTCTCTTTTTCCCGCTCTGCCCCTCCAGTAGGCAAAAAGACTGCACACCTGACACAAACTGACCAGCAGGGATATTCCATACCATACGAGAGGCTTTGCTGGGGTGGAGGCAGCCACTGCTACTGGCCTGCTTGTAGGAGGTCATGAGGGATTACCTTTGCATCATATAGGTTGTTTTTTTCATTCCTCTTTCCTTCACTTACTAAACTGTCTTTATCTCGACCCATGAGTTTTTTCACTTCTACTTTTCCTATTCTGGAAGACATACTGGGTGTGAATACTAAGCAAAGGGCTATCCACAGCAAACCCCCCAGTCAAGTCTTCCACTGCACTGGGAGATCATTCCAAGATTAGCATTTATTCTGTTTATTAATCCTTTTTGACAAGTTTGTGTTGGTACTTTAAATATCAAGTCACAGTTAAGTACAGTCACATAAATTAATTAATAATAGATCAGAATACATATACATAATTCTTGAAAGATCTTAATGTTCAGATATTTCACAAAGCTAGGAGCCAGCTCAAACCTCCCCATCTATTGCACAGAAGTAGTCAAAGTTCAGTGGCTTTAATTCACACTTACAAATTCACACTGTTACAAATTTAAACCCTAAAGGGGTGCAAATGACATATGAGTGCCCACTAGTAAGAATAACAAGACATTAGGAAGGTCTTACAGAAAAGAGGTGTAAATTCTTCCAAATAGAAAGTGTTGATATTCAGAAGGATGTGAACTTTCTCAAATATTACATACAGTTCACTGTAAGAATTTTACAATACATTGTACAACTAAGGCAACAGGTGCTGGATCAGTGAAAAACACTGAGCAGATACCGTTCAGGGAAGCTTGCAGGTGCAACAGACCACCAACACCTCAACTGCATCTAAATACATCAGCCAAGGGTACTTGACTAACTGGGCATTGAGAGCTACTCTCTGCGAAGGAAAATCCACCCGGTGTATTCTGGAGGTCTGACCTTCCAGTCTGCCTTAATATGGTATTGAAAAGCAGAGCACTAGCACTACTCATTAGAGTCATACAGGAAAGGCAAAATGTTCAGCAGATTCCTTAACCAACCCAACTTGTTCTAATTTTGGGCTCAGTCCCTGCTATCAAAATTCAAATCGCATTGCTATTAGCAAGCCTGCCACATACTCACTCCACTCAAAACACATTTCTCTTAGGACTTCATTTAGAATGCAAACTTAGCCAAGGCATGAGTAATCTCCAAAGAACTTCCAGTAGGAACAGTATCAGAACCATCTACAAATTTGGATTATTTTTTCTGTTATCACACAGAAGAACAGTATATTAAATCAACTCCTCTTGAACTCTTCACGTTTTTTGTAAACAGTTAATTTCAAATATTGTGTAAGCACGAGGGGAACAACCTTTAAGTTCAACATACAACCACTTACACAGACACTTAAACTATGTTCTACGTTATATAGCATTATGATATCTTGGGAACCTATTGTACTAACATTGCCACTGTCATGAAAGACAGGTAATATATTAAAGTGGTTTAGCATCAGAAAATTAGTAGTGTTCTTTCAGCATGTACTTACTAATCACTAGGCATAGCTAGCATATTATACAAATACAGATGGAGACTTAAATGTTAACTACAATCCTAGAACAACGCCACTTCAAAATAAAAGCTTGATTCTGCAACAAATATTCCGGTTGTTATCATGTACATGCTGTTAGTAGTTAACTTGTGCCTTAGTTGCAATACATTCTGTTGCTATACCTGCGTTTTACTGGGGAAAGTTCTCTGCATGTGTGCCTATGTGTGTGTATGTATTATGTAGGCATATACACAAATACAAAATTATAATTAAAATATATCACCTTACTGTCAGAGAAGTACATAGACTAAGTATCCAAATGGGAAACTTAGGTCGGCAGCTACACATTCTGTGTGTATTTCCTCATAAGGAACTAAAGCTCTTTTTTTTTATCCTGGTTTATTATTGGCAACATCAAACTGTGCAACCTTAAAGCAGAGGCCAAAGCTGAAGAACAAACTGGCTAGCGACACAAGGCTAAGAGTGCTTTCAGCTGGCAGCATTTTCAGTTTGCAGTCGCTCAATCAGTTGTTCAGCCTATGAAACAAGAGAAAGCAATGTATTAACTACACCGTGGACCTTCAGTTTACTGAAAATTCAATTTTAAAAATAGTGATACTGACAGAGCATTTACTTTTCATTTTTGCAGACAAAGCATAAAACAAGCAGAATACAATGACTGTTTCAAACAGCAGACTCTCAGTTTCCATCAAACTCCCATTAGGCCAACAGAAAACAGAACCTATGTAAGTCAGAGGATGCTTAAGCAAATAAGTAGCATATAAAGCTGTGTGGTTTTAAAGACCTCGTAAGACAGCAGCACCCAGAACAACCAAGGTCTGAGAACTGGAATTCTTTGGGAGACAGGGTGTTGTGGCCTCTCATCACCCAACAAGCTGTACACTACTCACATATGTTGCTGAGGGATGGAGTGCATTCACATATGTGGTTCATGTCATGAGACACACATCCATTCTCTGGTTATGTAACTATGCTCACACATACTTTTCTCACCATGTAGTTATTTATGCATGTAGCACGTAATTGGCACAGCTTTATCTTGTATATTTAACAGCAGCAGCCCACAGAGCCCGCAGAAAGGCTCCGGGCAGAAAGACAACACTGGCCTGCCAATGTTGTTCTAGTAGGCCAAACTGGGCACATTGAAACTAGCATGGGCACTTCTGAAACAAATATTTCTGTTGAAGGATGTCCATATTGGATAACCAAACTTGGTACTGATCTCCCTGTCTAATCCAAGACAGTAAGCAATAAAACTACACAGCTATACTAATTTGACGGCCAAATATCTGTGTGATGCTCTACAGTACAGCAGAGACATCTGCTTTTTTCATGTTAGGTGTGATCTCCAGCAAGGTACTACTGTGAAGAAGCCAAGTTTTTTCTCATTAAGAGGCTATCTATATTCTTCAGATTACCTTTTTTGGCATCTTTCTTTTGGGGATGTGCAATGACCTTCCATGGCAAGAATCACAGAATGGCTTGGGTTGGCAGGGACCTTAAGATCATGTAGTTCCAATCCCCCTGCCATCTAGTTCTCCACCTCGTCACTAGATCAGACCTTCCATGGCAAGAAGCAAAAGCATCACCCTGCCTGCAATAGAACTTTGCGAGTTACATCTCTTAAAAAGAGAAGCTACTGTAACTGCCCCCCTGAGAGAATGAAATGTGAGACAGAAAGTAACGCCGATTCTCCAGGTATCCTCAAACGTTGCATTTTCTGCCTTGTTGTGCAAGGACAAATAAGCTACACATCTCATTTGGCATAAAGCATTTGACTGTTCTGGAAAATGTATCCTGAAGTGTCCAAGTTCACAATGCCAGACAATTCACAGTGCTGAGGGAGGACAAGTGACAGGCCGGAGAGTTCCCATGGCTGCGTAATGCTTTATGTTTTTAAGAGCTGGATCTGTTCAGTAACTACACCTGTATGCTTTGACTAAAGGGAAAGCAGAACACATTTCAAACACAAGTAAAACTGAATTTTACAATACACAGGGATGCTGTAGCTATATTGCAAGGACAAGTTCTTTGCTGTATCAAAACAGTGAGAGTAGGCTTTAGTCCCTGAGAGAGGTATTTTCAAAGTGATGTAGTTAGTGCCGGTTCAGTCTTACTGCTTTTCTGTACTGACAAAAATCACTACAAACCATGTTTTTGTAAAGCAGGCACTTGTTTTAATCTAAAGATGTCAAGAGGACAAAACCCATGTGACCTCATAAAAGCAATCATTAAGTGGACGCTTTCACCTGAATTGGATGAACCACGGTGTATGCACAACAGTCCATCATATTTGTACATATCCTTTTAAATTAAAGAGCAAATATTTACAAAATATTCTCAGAAGCACATCACTAACCTCAGCTATGTATTAGATCCAGAACTACTGTACTGCTTGCTGCTAATGGTACAGGCACTCCATTCCCCTTAACAAGCGGGTTTTACCATTAGATTTTTTCAAATAGTTACTGCAAAATATACATAACAATGACAGTAATGCAAAAGAATTATTCTAATAAACTCTGGATGTAGTTAAAATGTTAGAAAGACATCGTATTTTCAGCTTGCAATTGAAAACCTATCAAAAAGCTCACCTGCATTATACTTACCGTGATAAACCAGTAGGAATTGATTCTGTAAAAGAGTCTGGATAAGAATCCTAGCTGGCTGGCTGGGGCCAGGACATGAAGATGCAAGTGGGAGATTGAGCAGAATGGAGGCCAGTGAAAACCCATTCTTCAGAAAAGGAAAACAAGTAAAGAAATACTGGTAATTCAGGAAGAAGCGGAACATTGCAAGTTCTTTAACATGAGCAATTAACAACTCATGGCACTTTCCTTGTACATAATGGCAGGAACAATAATATACCTTTCATGGTGCTTTCAGGGAACCTTTTCAAGAGCCCACTGACCTCCTCCTTCACATCTCTGTATTTAAGACACATTTTGATGAAAGGAGGGTTTAAAAATAAAATGTATCTTAAAGGTGTTATATCCAGTTCTCAGCTGGAAAGCCAAGTGTCACTAGATTAATGTAGTTTCTACCTATTTTTATCATGAAGGCCCAGCCCCCTATACCATTCAGTTTAAACTACAGGGTGCAGCACCGAAATCAAATGAATGCAGATACGACTGAAACACAACGCAGTGCCCTGCTAGAACAGGACAAAGTTTACTTCTCTTCTGGAATCTAGGACTTTGAGCATATTGTCAGCTTGTACTTAAAGAGCAGCCTTTTAGGTAAGTTCTTTGAAGTGCCCTCCCTATCCCAAGACGTGGTCAGGAAAGGATCTGAGTTGGAACATAATCTGAGCTGGAAATTCATCAGAAAAAAAAAACAAACTGAATACCAGCATATTGTACTTGAGAATCCATGCAATAATTGAATGCAGACCAGATTTCTTCAATAAATCACACTGTACTTGTTGCCACCACCTCTAAAATAGCATTCTGAAAAGCAAAACAACCATACTCAATAAACACAGAAGGTTTCCATTACATACCTTACATCACTCAAGTCACTAAAATTATTTCTCTGGAGGACAGCTTTTCCAACTTCCATCATTCTCTTCACTATTAAACACAAATAAATTTGAATTAATGTTTAAGTAGTATTTTACACATCATATGTCAAGTGATTTTTTAAAATGCTACTCTTCACAATATTAACTTCAACAAACTAATTACACTAAGATCACAAACTTTTTTTTTCAAGATACAAATATGGCAACTACTCACAATCAGAGACTGCCGAGATGGTGTGGTGCAATGTGCAATGATTGACACGAAAGTTGCTACTGTAACCAATTTCTACACTACTGATGCTCTTAAGTGTGATATTATCCTAAGAACTTTGTACAAAGCCATGCCATCAGCACACCCTCATGAAAAAAAGTAACAAATATTGACTGGTTAGAATTATGACATTTACACTAATTCCAGTGTTGTATCTCTACACAGCCATGGGACTTTGATCATGGGCAGCCTGGGCAAGTTGGGAAGTTTCAGAGATGGTACATGAATTTAAATTAAAACAAAACTGTCAGTACTATTTATTACTAGGACAACATTTCACCAGTGTATCACTGAGAAAAGAAGCAACACTAAGGCAAGTCTAAGGAATTGTCTTGAAGCCAAATGCATATAGAAGTTCTTTTCTGGAGAAAACTACCCTATGGTTAAAAGGAAAATACAGTAATGCAAGATTTGCAACACACAACTGTAACGCTTTTTTTTCTTGCACCACTTATAAGTTTCCCTGAGGTGGAATCTCTTCGGGCACATATGGGCTGTAGTTTTTCCTGTTACTCAACACACTTGAATAGGCATTTCTTGTGAAACAAATAACAGGACAATGTTTTCTTAAGAAAAAAAAGGAAAAAGAAGCCTATTAACAATAAACCATAGCTTCAGAGTTTTATAACCTTATTTTTTAAAAAATTATTGAAGTTTCTTGGAAAACCATATCCCTCTTTTTTCTCTCCCTTTTTCCATGAAAAATAACACTTGTTTTAAAACATACATTTAATAAAATTCTGCTGTATTTTAAATATAATAAAAAATTGTACATATGCCTAAGGAAACAATAAAGTCTCACATAAATGCCTTAAAAATAAAGCTGCAGTTACAGGAAAGTGCAGAGGCATCTCTACTCCATGCAAACAAGAGACTTCATACAGTAGTGCAATGTTTTTCTAACATGGCACAAAGTGCTACTCTAGAATAGTATATGAATCTCCCAGCAAGTCCAAGTGTCTGCCTGCACTGACTCGTACCATCTATTTCCGTGTTTACATCCTCAACCAAATGATGCTCAGAGGCATAATTTACTTGACAACACACTATTTAAGGCTGTGTGAAATTATTTTCCTTTGAACAGACACTTGCACTCTTACCCAAAGGTATGTGTTCTTTCTTCAGTGTTTTGCAGTTTCCCATGTGTTCCACCGGCACCACCAGGTAGTGGTGGGGAGCTCCAGGTCTGCAATCTCTAAAGCAAGTAAGGTCTTCATACTAAAAAAGACGCAAACACAGTAAATTGATTAGGACGAGGGTATCAGCAAAGAGTAGACGGCAAAGTCCACATTCCCCACATCAATACTATACTTAATAGAATATTTGAAGTAGCTAGCAAAAACCTTCACATTTTTTGGAGCTAGCCTCCAGAAAAACCTGTAAGGGGGATTTGTGTCCTCAGCTGACCTGCAGCCAGGATACCTCCGTGTCGGTTTCTAGCTGTTGTGCCGACCTTTAAGGATGGAGGTGTTTTCCTTCTGACCGACATTTCACTCCGATCTCCACAGAAGAGCCGAGGTCCCGCAGCACTACCCCAGACCCTCCAAGCCTTCCGAAGACAGGCCCTTCCCGACCTGGCGGCCCGGGCCGAGAGGGTGAAAGGGAGGAAGGGCCGGCACCAGCCGGACGCCTCAAGGCCCAACCTCAGGCTTCGACCTCTCGTTCTCAAACTGCTCCCTCAGCCCTCCTCCCGGAGCACCACCCTCCCCGCGGGCCGCGGTGCCGAGCAGCACCGCGAACGACGCAGGGGCTGTCTCCGCACCAACATGGCGGCAGCCAGCGCTCGGCTCTCCGGTAAGAACCGACAATGAACATCCGCCACCGGCACACACCAACAAGACCCCCACCCCTTCCAGCGGGGCCCCGGCTCCCACGGGAGAGGATGGGGGCGGTGGCTCCCGGAGCTCCGCCCGCGGGACGCCCCTGACCCACCTCGGAGGAGAGCAGCGCCGTGCCCGGCTCCTCGCGGCGGGCGATCCTGCAGAACACGCACTTGCTGTCGTAGCTGCCGCCCTTCCCGGCTTCGCTCCCCTCAGCAGCGGCAGTAGGAGCCGCAACCCCCTCCCCGCCCGCCATTGCCGGCCGCCCCACAGATGCGACCCCTGGCGGCGGAGGCGAGGCTGCGTCCTCACCCCCTGGCAGAGAGGGCTAAAGGAAGGAGCGCCGGGCGGCTGCGTCAGCGCCCCGCCCACCTGCCCGCCTCCTGCACCGCCAGGGGGCGCGCTCGAGTCTTGTTTTACAACCACCCCCCCGTAAGTGAACCCCAGTGTAAGCCCCTGTTACCTCAATGAAGCCTTCCACAGCTGAACCAGGAGTGCTCAGAACCTCTGCCGCAGGACAGCCTCTTCTGAACAGGTTAAACGGAGCTCCCTTGGATTGCCACAGCCAGGCACACACTGAATTACACCCCCCAAGCACCAGTAAAAGCACATGAAGTCTGCTCACCCTCAGTTTTCAATAAAAATGGTAGAAACTGACAATAAAATAAGTAAAAACATTCACATCACAGAATCACAGACCGGTCTGGGTTGGAAGGGCCCCTAAAGATCACCTAGTTCCAACCCCCTGCCATGGGCAGCAACACCTTCCACTAGACCATGTTGCTCCAAGTCCCATCCTAGCCTCGAACACTTGACTGCCAGGGATGTGGCAGCCACAGCTTCTCCGGACAACCTGTTTCAGTGCCTCACCACTCTCATCACACCAGCTACTTCCAAAGCTAACAGAGACTGTTTCTACGTGGTAGCTAGCCTTCAATTTCAAAATACGTGTTCTTAATACTTATGGTTTAAAACGCTTGCACTGCTCATAAGACCAGAGGTGTAGAGCCGCAGCATCCCTCACCATGGAATTTCAATGTTTATGTTCATCCCAGAGTCCCACTGGCACAAAGTACTTATCCCACATACGATAGGCCACAGCATTTAAAAACTTAACGAGTTGCAAAATTGGGAATGAGATTTTTCAAAATGACATTTCTTCCAGAGCACAAGCTGTGCTTGTATGAATAGAACATGGCTAGCTATTCTACCTGAAGCAGCTCATTTGCCAGCATTTGCTGACCCGCACAGCATGAGGGAAACCCTCTGCAATGAGCTAACCTGCTCCTTTTCCCTGCTATGAACAGCCAAGAGAAACACATTCTGAGGATCATTCTGAAAGTAACTATGTTTTATTCTGCTCTAAGGCCAGCGCTGTACAGAACACCCAGTGCAAAACCTGCACTGAAATCAGCACCAAATCAAACAGCCATCATTGTCTGGGTACTTAAAAGCCTTATTGCGAATGAGCATTTTATCAGTGCCCTGAGTCAAAAAACTTTATCCAAGTACCACTGAATTACATGTGCTTCATATTGCAAGAACAAGCTTTTGCTCTCCCTCCGAGAGGAAAAAAAAAAATAAAATATCAGTGGTTTTTCTAGTGATCATAATTTTCCTCTTACTTTAAGAAAACTCTGCCACTTCAACTCCAGGTTCACAGACAGCACACCGGGTCCACTGCATGTGTAATCATTGTTTTTTCTTAATGCCACCTCTGTGTATCATAAAACCAATAAAACCCACGAACAAAGCAGTTTTAAGGTATGTATGCCTTTGTTGTGCTAGGGCAGAAATAAAAATACACAGACACTTCAGCAACATAAAAAAGGTGCATACAAAAATTATGTTGGTCAAAAAAGATGAGGGAACACAGGAAATTCACTACAGAGAAACAGGAACTACTTTGTAACAGCCTTTGAATAAACACAAACCACAGCTCTCTTTTAGGAGATGCTATACCACACACAAAAAACCCAAGCAAAAAAACCCCAAACCTCCTATCTCTTTACCCGTGTTTCTAAAATGCGATATTGCTGGAATTCTCTTTTAAAGGGGAGGCACAGGTATTTGTCAGCATAACTTGCAATTTAAGATGTATCCTTTAACATTTACTAAAGTTTAGGAGTAAAAAAAAAATGTAACAAGTTTCTGAATGCATAAATTCCTTTATTGAAAATATTGTGATAGCACTGCATTACATATATTCAATATTGATAGTTTCAAGGGTCACAGAATTTTGATTGAACAACACTGTTTGGAATATACAGATATGCTCTGACAAGGATAATATAATGGAGTACGTTGTAGGCAGCACTAGTGAAATGTATGTAAAATGCTGAACTTGGTCGGGTTGGAGTTTTTTTTAACTATTAAGTGGTCTGCCACCATTTAAAAGAGCGAACAGTATTTAGTATTCCTGGTATCTTCAAAGTGTTACTCTGTAAGTGACTTCCAAAATATTTTACGTTACCAATAAAAACTTTATTTATGGCTGTAGTAGACCACGCAGAAGGGAAGTGTGAAAAGCTCACGTGCAGCGTGCTACAGGCTGACTGTAAGATAGCATTGGCTTTTAGACTGTGAAATTTCTGTGCAGGATTAAGATTTAGTAATGCTTTTGAAAGAAAACCACTTGCTGGGTTTTTTTTAATCTCTTCAAAAAGGGAAGAGCAGTAACTCAAACTGAGCTGTATTAGTTAATAATACTCCAAAATTAGACTGTACTGCTTTAATGCATGGAAGCACACTAACATTTCTAAAACCTGCTTTTATCAGGACAGTGACACATTTGAGCCTAAGGCAGGAGAGCATCCTAACGCTGGTCAGGCCTGGATTGTGTAAGCAGAGCCACCTCTTAATGGGAAAGCAGAATTCCTTAGCAAACAGTGAAGATAGCTAGTCCTCTGTCACACTCTCCCTATTAACCAAAATTTTCATTTCCTAACATGGGAGTCTTTTCAGTGTTGGGGGGGAAGAAGGGGAAGTATCAGTTTAGTTCATGAAAAGCAAAGAACAGTATTTACTTGCCTGACAAACCTTAAACCAGCCTGTTGCTTTAAGTCTTTTTTGGGAAGGAAATCATATATATAATTACTAAGAAAACAAGTATTATTACACTGACATGTCCTGGCCTGTTAGAAAACAGCATTCTTCTCTAAATCTCAGTTGTATTTTCTCCTTAACAAATTCTTCAATTTGTAGATAAATGCTCATAAAAGCACAGTGGGTAGCTTATTTTGAATCACTTGGAGGTGATATAAAGAAACAATCCACTTCAAAATGTCCTTCATAAACAGTCAAATAATACTAGGGCAGATGCTCAGAGCATGCTGTCCCAATCCTGCTGACTGCAACAGAGCTGATACAGTCTACAGCAGGTGGTAGTCTGCCCAGTGTCTCCGTGAACTGACAAAATCATCATCTGTTAATATGAATGTGGCAACCGAGTTAGGAGGAAGCACTATTCCCCTTTTCTCTCATCTCAGGAAAAAAAAAAAAACCAACAAAAACCGAACAGAATTATGCACTCAAGTGTTTCTGCCAGAAAACAAACCCTCTAATTAGGGTAAAATGAAAATGCAATCTCATTTACAAAATAAAAATATAAAAATCAACTTCAGAAATCAAATAAATTGATTCAGAATAAATGCCAATGCATAAGAAACCTACCTGAATAGTATTTATCAAATTGAGATTTGGAACATTAAAAGAAAAAACTCAGAGCTAATACATTTACACACCCCCACAAAAAGAAATCTGCTATACAATAACAATAAATAAGAAGACTTTAAAAACATGTTCCCTTAAGTGCTGTGTACACCTATTTGATTCTTTTCCATGGCAAACAGTATGCTGTAGATTTTGGTAAAGTAACCTTTTATTTTTGGTTAGCATTTGTACACTGAACATAATTACACATGGAATGTACTATATATAGTTTTCCCACAGGATTTTCTTCACAGTTACAGAAAGAGTTTTCAACTTATACACCATGAATGTTTTCATAAGCATCATTATCTTCGACGGAGAAGTATTGGTGGAGGAAGTAAAAAACACTTCAGAATGATGTCTTACTGTTCTGTCTCTTACTGCCTCTCAAAACCAGCTGTTTGTTCTTGGGTTCGTTGGGGTTTTTTTGCGTAGTCATGCTCTGGTACAAACTTGAGGAAAAAGCGTGTAACATTGTGAGGCAGCCTGCACCTTCTAGTTAGCTTTTAAGTGCCTAACGGATCCAGTCCTTAAGGCAGTCTGTATTTCACTCAAATGTCCATACTTCGATGTCTTGTATTATGAAATCTTCTTTCTTGGATAAGATGTCATTATTGAAGGTGCTGCAGGAGTTGCTTCGCCCGTGATACAAATCTGCATCTAACCACAAGCCAAACCGGCCACTAAAAAGGAAATATACAATAATTTTGGGGTTATATATATAACAGTAAAAATACCAGAAGCTGCAGAAACCACCAGAGCAGCGATACAGAAAAATCTAGGTAATTCCGAAGAGCTCTTGGACCAAATGTGAAGACCTGAATCTCAGAAAAACACTTGCTAAGAAGCTCACAGAGCAGCCCCTCACTTGTTTGCACCAATAAGCAGTGCAGAGGGCAGGACTGAGTGTGTGCCTACAGCCCCTCCTGCCATTTAGCTGTTCGAATCCACCAGTTGTAGCTATGGCCAAGACTGGGATGCAGACACAAGGATCCCTTCCCCATCTCTTCAGCCCCATCTGCTTTAGGAGAAGGAGGAGGGGTGTTTATACACTCCCGATGCAAACCATGCCCAGATGTCCTGTGGTGAAGCTGCAGTCAACCCTTGATTTCATACCCACTGACGTTTGAAACTCAGGACATCATTAAGCACTGTCTGTATCCTTGCTCTGTGTATCAACAGAGTAACAACAATTTAATAAGGACCACATGAGAAACCTTAAATGCTGATGGCAAAACTGCTGTTAAAGATTATCTTCCAGTGACAAACCTCTCCAGCAATGAGACATGTATCTTACCAAAACATCTGGGTTTTTTTTCTAACAAAACCCCAAAACACAACAAACCCTACTCACTAATCAGTCACTTTCTTTAAGCAATAGAAATTCCTTTGGTTTTGTAACAGAAATCAGACTGGTGAGATATCTGCTCTAAACAGTGTACTAAAAAGAATTTCAACCATTTTACCGATTAGTTTTTCTTGCAACTACCACTGTCCCTATTCTCATTTAAAAAGTTAGGTACAGAATTGGAAAACCATTCACTCACCCTCCACCTCCGAGCTCCAGAGAGCTGGTGTCTCCATTGATGAAGTAAGTGTTCTCTCCA